CTTCACTGAATCACCGGACTCAGATTTCCGTGCCTCAGACGACCTCGATGCTGAAGGAGTAGCCGACATCACTGCTTTCTTCTTCATAATCTGTCTGAGATTGTATTTATTAGGTATATATCAATTAGGGTTGTTGTATATTTGGGAGATTCTAATCGCAGGGTGATAACGGGGAAGAGAAGCTGTTAACGGGAAATGTTAGGGGGTGGGCGATGAGGTCTGAAAAGTTTAATTTGGTGTTTATTTGATCTCAAAAAAAGCTTAATGTCCAATACGCTCTTCATTAAAAACCTCAGTGTCCATTTTGGCCTTTTTCCCTTTACAAAAATTGGAATAACGTGAAAACAAAATATTATATAAAAATACTCTATTTAACAAGATATATACTCCTAGCTCCGTAGTTATTTGTAGTCTAAAATTAACAAGTTTAAATAAATTAATGAAGTAAAAAACCAATCATCTCCTTTCATCTCCTTCGAAATTCCCCAACCAAACTGGCCCTAAAGGATGTTAAGGTGACATTAACTCCATTCAATTTCTTAAAAAGTAAATGCCTAAGCAGAATCAAAACATTGGAGAAATTGTTCCCTTGATTTAAAAAAACGGAAGATCTGATAGAAATATAATATACATTTTCTTCAAAAGAAAAAGAAAAAGGAAACCTAAAACAAAAATGAAAAAGAAATGGAATACAAATGTTTGTGAGCCTGTGTCACTTGCTTTTCAGTTTAAACTAGTTTATTACCCGTGCGATGCACGTGAATAATTACCTTAGATATAAAAATAACTTAATTTTGAAAGATATCATATTATGACACATATTAAGCTATTGTGAATTAATAATATAAAACATACTAAATATAAGTAATTGATCTCAAAACATATATTAAAAGGAGATGAGAAATACGAAAACCAACATATCGAGAGTACATTAAAACATAAAAAGTATAAATATTTTACAAATTTTGAAACATTTCATGGAATACTACATTGGTTGTTACATTAGTACTCCCACCTTCCTTGTCACATATAAGAATTTTCAAACTACTAGGAGTAGTAACACACTAAAGAGCAACATATAGTTGCCCATGGCTAAACACTGGTTGCGCAAAAATAATCCAACATTGAATAAAAATTGACCCTGACACTTGTTTATCATCATTGCATATGAGACAATAAAAGGAAATTGTCTCTTTTAATTTGAAACTTGAAAGGCAACCTCACATCCGACGATGCAGTGTCAAAAACATTCTAGCTAGGTATCAACACTTTTTTACTCGCACTTATCCCCGTCAAAACTTTTGCTTCCAACACATGATTCCCCAATCTAGTGATAAGCATCCTAGTTCCATTGCATAACCCCCAAGAATGGTCTATATTTCTCATAAGCATAACTAGTGTCCCAACTTTAAGATGCAATTATATTGGTAATTTGGAACCCCTGAAGATTTAATTCCATTAAAAAATTCTTGAGTGCGAAAATCAGTCAAAAAATCAAGATTTGCTTCTGACTGGCATGGACTATCAAAACACAAACATGTTCTCAATTGAGAACCATTTAATGTGAGCATATAATCATTGATAGAATCGACAACGTAACATCAAGGGTTGGTGCCAATATTGTCCTTTTTTCCAAAATAACTCGGATCATGATCAACTGTACCAAATTTAGGATAAATGCCTTCAACAATTTTAGCTATTGGATCTTCAAAACTTGTAAGCAAAAACTCGCTAGAAATCTCAATCTCTGCAAAACCGTCATTGGGTCCTCTAATAGTGCCATCTCCGATGCTTGCAATCCACTCAAAAAACTTAATTAAATATTCTGATTTATCACTAGCTGATAAATGAAGAAGCCTCAAATTCTTTGTAAAACGCATCACACTTGCATGTTGCCACAAATAGAAGAGTTGTGTAAAGCGCACCAATGGGTTGGACTTATGAGAAAAATAAAATTCAAACAAAATAATTGATGACACATATTAAATGTACCAGGTAGATGTTATGGGGCCCGAATAGTCAAATCCAGTAGATAAATATATACTCCTTCCCTTGTTGAAAAGTTTTCTTTCTTACCTTTTTGGGATGTCCCAAAAATTTCTTCACATTTTCCTTTTTGGAAAGTAATGTGAGGCTAACATTCATCTACTTTTTCTTACTCAATCATAATCATACATTTATACTTAATTTATTCATATTTTCTTAAACTCCAATCCAACTAACATGAGAAAAATTTCTAGCGACAGAGGGAGCATCTCCAAACCGCCCATGTTTAAGTGCAGACTAGACCAACAAAATGATTTTAGTCATATGATGTTTTTACTTAGACTATAATTTGCTGGTCTGGTCTGGTCTGTTTTGATCTGGTCTGTTTGTTTTGGTCTGGTCTGATCTGGTCTGAAATTTTATTTTTTATATTTTTTGCATAAAGATTTTATTTTTTATATATATTTTATAATCCATAAAAAATTATATTTTATTCATTTATAATTAAAAATAATAATATTCCTTCCAAATTATCGAAAATTGTTACTCCCTCCGTTCCTAAATAAACTTTCAACTTTCCTTTTTCGTCTGTTCCAATAAAAACTTCCATTTTCTTTTTTTGGTAAAAAATTTGTGGTTCACAACATTTCTTACACATTTCTCTCTCCTCTGCACAACTCTCCACCACACAATATCCAATATTTTAAACTTTGTGCCAAACCTATTTGGAAATTAAAATGGGAACGGAGGTAGTATCATTTTACTTGGTCTGATTTCAATCCCCGACCGAAGCAGATCAGACCAGACCAGACCATACCAAAACAAAACAGACCATATCGGATCAGAATAATAGTAATAATAATTATAATAATAATATTATTAATAATAATAATTACAATAATAATAATAGATAGTAATAGTAGTAGTAGTAGTAGTAGTAGTAGTAATAGTAGTAGTAGTAGTAGTAGTAGTAGTAGTAGTAGTAATAATAATAATAATAATTAGGGGCGTGCACTATCCGATTTAAACCGGAAAACTGGACCGAACCGGACCGGAAAAACCGGAACCAGATCAAACCGGAATGATATCCGGTTCGGTTCGGTCCGGTCTGGTTTTGAACTGGTGGCTCTGGTGCACACCCCTAATAATAATAATAATAATAATAATAATAATAATAATAAAATATGGTCTGGTCTGGTCTGATCTGGTATGGTCTGTTTTAGTCTGGTTTGGTCTGATCTGGTCTGTTTTGGTTTGGTCTGGACTGGTCTGGGACGAATTACATTCCAAGTAAAAACAACCATAATCATATACTCCCTCCGGTTCTTATTAAAGTTCCTAGTTTGACTTCACACATATTAAGAAAATGAATTTGACTTTACTGTGGAGTGCACTGTTTGGCACTGTTTAGACACTGTTTGGCACTGTTTGGCACTGTTTTGCATTGTTTTGTTTCCTAAAATGGAAATGTGAACTTAAATAAGGAACATCTCAAAAAGGAAAGTGAAAACTTTAATATGAACCGGAGGGAGTACGTAGTATAACACGTGCCTAATGTATACATCTAAAAACTGGAAAATTCGGTTTTAACTAATTTATACCAACTCTTATACTCGCCGTTAGTGAGAACATTTTTTTCGACTGTGAATCTCATTAACAAAAAAATCTTCTTACGGATGATGAAATAGGCATCCAAATCTAACAAGTACGGAGTATTAATTTTAATAGCTTAATGAAGTTTGAACTATTAATGGAAATATTGAAAACAACTCATCAATAGATTCTTCACAAAACGATCTCAATAAATCCTTTTTTTATAGTATCTCAATAACTACGATAACTAAGATAAATGAAAACCTGAGACTAATATTTTTGATCTGATTTTTATAAAATTTATATCAACATTTTTTATTTTTCATGATCTTTCAAATGAGACTAATATTGCTTATGTAATTTTAAGAAATTATCGAACTATTATATTAATGAGTATTGGATTATAAGGAAAATCGAATCTGTTTGGGAGATGATAGGTTTGTGAAATAGAAGATCGAATCTGTTTGGGAGTGGATCAGTGGCCTCAGTTACATTTGATAATACATTGAGTTACATCTTTTTATGAGCGAGTTACATCTTTTTATAAGCAAGTTACATCTTTTTATAAGCGAGTTACATATATATACACACGAGTTGCATTTGACATGTCTGAACGCGAGTTACATATATTTACACGTAAAGTTACATATTTTTACACGTAAAGTTACATATATATACACGCGAGTTACATATTTATACACACGAGTTACATTTGACCTGTCTGAACGCGAGTTACATATTTTTTTACGTAAAGTTACATATTGTTACACGTAGAGATACATATTTATACACACGAGTTGCATTTGGCCTGACTGAACGTGAGTTACATATTTTAACACGTAAAGTTACATATTTTACACGTAAATGTTAATATGTTAAAATTACATTGGCAATATTGGTCTCATTTGAAAGATCATGAAAAATAAAAAATGTCGATATAAATTTTATAAAAATCGGATCAAAAATAAAAAAGTTATTACCATTTTTTAAAAAAGAGAAATAAAAAATAATGAATTCAATACCCTGCTTGCCAAAAACGTATGCCCGTATACGGTGCTCACTGTATACCGGTCATACGCTATAACAGTCGGTACATAATGATTTAACAAAGAATATTTTTTTATGAAAATTTTGATAAAGAGTATTAAAAAACAAAACGTTAATAGAGTGAGTATTTTTGACAAAAACACACTTTCGGAGTATTTATTAATTAGAGGCGGTGAACATCAGCAGAGAGATTAAAAACTGGATACGGTAAAATCTTGACATATTCGCAAAAGATACAGAAAATTATTAAGCCTTCCAAAAAAGAGTGTTAAAAAAAACCAAAGGGAGATTAATTAATACGATAGTATAACTGTATAAGAGAAAGAGTGCGATTTTGGATTTAATTTTGACCAAATTAAATTTGTACTCAGTATATTGAAGCTTGGGCTCCAGTCAATTACCGACTGTGATTTCCCTAACTTTCAAAATAATAAAAGGCGCTACACGAGAGAAAGAATTCAGAACTCTAAACTGTCTGAGAGAAAGAATGGCGAACAGGCTCAGGAAGATGTGTTACCAGAGGAGAGCGGCTTCCATCATCAAGAAAACCAGAGAGCTGGAAACGCTCTGCGACATCAAACTCGCCATCGTCATTGTGGGCCCCGACGGCAAGACGGAGACTTGGCCTCCCGACCCCACCGCCGCCAAAGCCATATTCGACGCCGGAAAGGAGAACGTCGGCCGCGCGACAGCCATGATAGGCGGCAAGAAAAGGAAATCCCCTGAATATAAAATTGAAGAAGGAGAAAAAGATTCTCACCCATCGAAGAAAGAATGCATGACCGCCGGCGGCGGCGGCTGCAGGTTTGGTCATCAAGAAGATTCAGAATCCGGTGCTGCAACTGTGAGTGGAAAAGAAATTGGGTCAATGGGTGATCCTTATTTCGGGTCTGGGCTTGGAGAACTGCTTAAACCTTATATACACTCTTGAATTCGATTAGTATTGATAATTAGAATTAACATGATTAGCTTGGAAACTCTGATCAAAATTCAATGTAATTATATAATGATGATACATGCCTTGTCAGTTTTTATTGGTCTCTGATAATGTTTTTAATTTTTTATCACAGGATTAGAGTTTAATTTTTACTGTATAATCCTCCAGGTTTCTATGTTACTATGTACTCCGGAGTATATGTGCATGCATGTGCAGATTTTGAATAATTTAGAGTGTTAGACTAGGCGTGTCACTTTAATCACACATAATTATCATAATTAGGGTTTAGGGTAGTCTTTATGCATGGAAAACTAATTAAACAGTGTCCTAAATAAGTTAGCTTCTATTCCTCTGGATGTGTAGCTATCTAGCTTGATCAATGCTTCTGATTTCTTTATAATTTTCCATTGACCAAATCTATATATTTCAAATGTCTTCTCAGATTTACGGTTCTTACCGTATTCAGTTCACTCGATCTTTTACCCTGAGTTACACAAATATGGCTTTCGATGAAGCAGTTTTATTAGTTGAAGCTTTTTTTCTATATTAAATTTCAAATTTTATCTGTTATCTTAAACCGTGTGTGATTTATTCAACATTGACATATATATAACTAAGTTGGATTGAAGGTTTAAGTAAGACATGCCATATGATATGAGATGATTGGCTATAGCAAGCAACAGATCGAAGTAGCAATATACAGTGCCAAAAATAAAAATCCATCCGAATTATTTTTTAGAAATTACTCTAAATAGAAGTAAAAACGTTTTGAAAATTCAAAATAGAAGTATCATGTTTTTTATTCTCGAAATGGGAGTAATTTGTATAACACAATGGTCACGGACTAAATGTGGACAATCTGAAAGTAAGAGACTAAATGTGGAAGTGCTGTAATAGTCATGAGACCAAAAGTGGAATTTTTTCTATTTTGAAATACAAATCTTCCATTTTGATCAATTACTCGCTCCCATTTTGATTTATCTTATTTTCATTTTTGAACTGTTCTAAAATGAATGTCATCTATGTTTCATCTTTTGAAAAGAAAAACCTGTTTCATATCATTTCCCCTCCTTCTACTAAAATTTTAACCACAATTTTGATTTTTCAACCATTTTATTAATAATTGTGTTAGACTAAAATAAGAAATTCAATATGCGTAGATGGTAGTACGTGTTTTGATTAGAAAACATACTAATGGACTTATTATCAGTAAAGTTTGACACGGTTTTGGCCAATTATAGGATGGCCCTATAAAAATATGAGATAGATTTTTGATTTTTTATCAGATCTAATAAATTAACTTACGTGAGATACAATTCATCATAATTATATTGTAATTTGTATATGAAAATAAAATAAAAAAGGTTATTATATTAATCATACTCAATTTCCTTTTTACTGTGTGATGCAAAACAAAAAACAAAAAATATCATTTCGTACTTCATAGCATTAGTTTACCACTTTTCCTTTCCTAAGCGTTATTCAAACATGTAAAAAATAGTTTGAGTCATCCTACAAAATCCCAAAGAATTCAAATCAACCAACCTACATTTCTAACAGTGCACGTATCTTTCTATATTTTATCTGACCCTCCATCCATGAGGGCCCCCAACCCTGACCGGACGGTATGTTGGGAGGATGTAAGTTGCAGAAGAAGACAGTAATTGCAGAAGCAATAAAAGTAATTGCAGAAGCAATAAAGATTCAGATTCCCCTGGCACAAAAAGGAGACAAATTTTTAGCCAGCCAAGAAGTCTATTTATATACAAAAGTCAGAAAAAAAGATTATCTATAGCATCTCAAATAATAATAAAATAAATAATCCTCTGAGCCCTCTTCCCTTGTAAGAAGAGTTGCACAGAAGTGATTAGGAGCGCAAACTAGTACTGTGTAGTGCATCATTTAAAAAGTTGACAAAGTAAATCAGCATTCAATTTCATATTGTGAAATTATTTAGATCATCATTTAACAGATACAATCATTTAACAGATACAATACTGAAAATTATACAAATCTCTTTTTGTATAGGGGCTTGTACCTAGGGCGGAGCTAGGCGAGGACTAGGGGTGCAAAGACCGCAAACGAGCTGAGCCAAGCTCGAATATGAGTATGCTTGAGCTTGAGCTGGAGCTTGATAAGAATTCACGAACTCGAGTTCGATCTCCAACTTGGACGAGTTAAATAATTCGGGCTCGAACTCGAGCCGAGCTCGATTCGAGCTAAATCCACCTTCATACTCTACCCAGCAAACCTTCACAGGATTCACGGCAAGAATATTATCTATATACAAGAAAGGCAAAGAAGAATTTGCAAGAACTTAATCTAAAGTAAACAAATATGGAGTTTGTGAAGATTGTGTTAAACAAATAAAAACCATTTAATCAAAGATAGGATCTGGCATGAGCTTAATCTGAATTTGCATTTGACTTTTTGATAGGAAAATATTAAAAAAAGTTCAAAGCATGTATTGCAATTAGCATTTCACATATATTGCATTTCACTAATTAAACTCCGTATGCAATAATCACTAAAATTAATATGTTCTACCGATAAAACCAACCAATTGCAAACCAACAGCCTAACAGCCTAAACAATGGACACGTAATTTGAATAAACGGCCTATGAAGTTGATATGGACGGACAATCCATTACGATCAATTTGCAACTCCAATGGGATCTATCGTTCTGCACTTTTGTTGGTCTAGTGAACCACTCCACAAAGGCATTATTATAAATATTTCCGACAAAAGAATACTCCGTATAATAAAATAATTGATTTGCTCACTTGGCTATTAATTAGTCTTTCTGAAAGTATAAAGGGTGGTAGACGGCCGTTCCATTTTTCTATGCCAACTCAGCACCCACCTTCAGGCATTTTATATCTTGGGATCGGCGCACCATGACGATGGTGTGCCCGATCCCAAAACGTCGTCATTCCCTTTATTAATTGATCGGCTGAAAGAGAGAAGACGCGTTGATGCACTACTCCAGCCACCTTTGTTCGCCACTGTTCTGCCTTTTCCTTTGGTGTTTAACCGACTTAGATGACAGGCTACAACTTTCTATTTAATCATCTTGCCCAACAAAAGTGAAAAGCATCCCACCATTTAAAATCATACATATACAGAATATTTAAAGAGAAGCAAAGAAGCAGATTTTATATATGGAGTGTGTGTGTGTATACACACACACGTATGGAGTGTGTATATATATATATATAGATTAATACATGGAGTTACATCTCTGTAAAGGCGTTTTACATTTCAATAGCCTAAAATTACATGGAGTGTGTTTCCAAGTTACATTTCAACTAAAGCAGTTTACATTCAATGAGTTACATTTGAATGAGTGTAATTTACATTTTGATTAACCTGAAGTTACATGTGGATTCACACGATTTACATTTCATATAACCCTGTGAGCATCATGCTCACCCTGCACCGCTCCCACGGTATAACGCCTCCCACCTTCAATATACATATTTCCATTGACGAAAATAATTTTCCCTCAATATGATGTGACAATGCATTATTAGCCAATTCACATTGCCACTAAAGATGCTCTTAGACTTAGGGGGATGTATTGAATATGGATTGTGATGGATTTGTTTTTAATCTGTAGACTTTTAAAAAAGTCAATGGACTTTTAAATCCATAGACTTTTTTATGAATGAATTCTATGGACTTTTAAATTCATGGATAAGTTTATTGACTTTCAAAAAGTCCATAGACTTTTAAATGCGAACCACCACTGCTGGTCGTTGAAATTTTCACCTAGACTGCCGCTACCGATCTGCCCGTCCGCCTTCGTCACTTGAGTTCCCCGCTGTCGTCATCGGACTGATCCACCACCAACAAAGTCGATTTGGTTATGCAAGAGAATTATGGACAATTAGTTGTACTCCCTCCGTCCCGCTAAGATTGTCTCATTTTACCTTTTCGAGAAGTCTCACTAAGATTGTCTCATACCAAATTTGGTAAAAATTGTGTGGCTCTAAATCACTTTTACTTTATTCTTACTTTATTAAATTAATATCAACCACACAAACTCACTTTTCTTAATAATCGTGTCACCTTCTTTTGTCCCAATCTTAGTGGGACAGAGGTAGTATTATTAATTAAATTAGGGGTGAATATGTAATACTTAGTCCTATTTAAGGAAAATCAAACATATGATCATACTTTAAGAAGAATGTTACTCCGTATGTTTTAGTCCTACCCTGAATAATTTCCTCTGTATAATACAGAGTATGATAAGAAACAAATAAACAAACAAACAAACAAACAAACAAATAAATAAATAAATGAAACAAATGTAATTCATATAGCAGCACGAAGTTCTACAAGAATAAATGAAGCATAAGAATCCAAATTTATTTTTATTAAAAAAACTCAAAGTTTCAAGAATGCTCAAGAATTTTGGTCATTTTATTAATGAGTAAGAACATTATTCGTTACACAACCGTTACACTCATTGCTACATGTGGTACAAGCACAATTGCAATCGAGTTTATCTTCTTAATAATTTTTTTCTTTTCATTTCTCTTGTAAAATTTTGTGTACTTATTTACGATTATATATTTATTAATTTGAAGTTATATTTTTATGTGTTAGCGATTTAACGATGAAAGAAAGTAATAGTTAAGATATTTATTTTCTTAATGGTTAAGTGACGACGTACCAGAATTGCACTGATGTAATATTATCGATTCTTATACCAGTTCTTCTAGAAACTTCTAGAATCGAATTCCAGTATGAGATTAACGAATCGAGGGGGTGGGGCAAGCTGAAGAAGAAAAAGAATGGAAGGAGAGCGCAATTTATATCGTGGGATCAGTGCACCATCCCCATGGTGCACCTATCCCAAAATGACATAGTTTTGCTCTGTATTAATTAAAAAAGCGGGTATCGTCGTTGTTATTACGCCGGATTAAAGAAGCTATGAGTGTTCCTTAGAGAGAGAGCATCGGAAATTGGTCATGACACTCGCCGGCGAGGAAGTGGCAGCGGTCCAACTGCTCATCCTCGAGGCGGCGGCGCAGCGGTGCAACAGTGCAGCGACGCAGCTTTGGTGCAGCGGCGGCTGCGGCGCTCAACCTTGATGGCGTATTTGATGCGTCAATCTCATCCCTGCAGTCCATCGCTGCTGTTCACAAAAACTTCTAAGCTTATTCCCTTTGATATTTTGTGCGCACTTAGGGTTTAATTATTCATTAAGAGAACATTTCTTCATCTAATACTCTCAAAGAAAGCTGCTGAGAGAACTCATTGGAATTTTGCTTATGAATTTTGCTTATTACGTAGTACTTTTTAAGAACTCAACTGGATTTTTTTTATACAATTTACATGTTGAAGATGACTGCTATGAATTATTTTTCTCAGTTTACATCTTGAACACACTCAAGTTACATCTGAATTCGCTTAAAGTTACATATTTATAAGCGTGAGTTACATGTCAACTTTTCTCAACAAGTTACATTTCACTTACACGTGATTTACATTTTTTATAATGCGAGTTACACCGCAATATAATGCGAGTTACACAACAAAATAAGCTCCTTCTATTCAAAGAAAAATTATTTTTATAAAAAATCATTTTTATAGAAATAAAAAATATAGACCGATTTTTATAAAAAATAATTTTATAAAACTATATTTCAAGTGGTGTAACAAGTTGAGAGAGTAAAACAAGTTATTCTTTAAAAAAATGAATAAAACAAGTTACATACTCCAACGCGTGATTTACATTTGAAAACACTGGATTTACATTTTACAATAATGCGAGTTACATATCAATACAAAGGATTTACATCACGAAAAAAATTAGACGAAAATAAGAGTACTGTTCACGCGAATTTTGTTAAATTAAACCTAAATGACACCATTTTATATGTGGGAGTAGGATGCTCACCGTGGGATGATCCCATGGTATAACAACTGGAAGGAGAGGGGTGGAGCGAGCTAGGCTGAAGAAGAAGAAAGATCGAAGGGTGTTAGATATACAACATGTAATACACTAGAAGTACTTTACTTGAGCAACACACTATATAGGGACTCAGTTGTTATTGAAGTTAGACAGCTTTGTAACCAACTATAAATATTTGTACTTAGCACTATTGTATTCAATGAAATATACAACAATTATCATTCCAGATCTCTTCTCCTCTTCTCTTTCTAATATGGTATCAGAGCTTTAGCTCTCGATCCAACAATGGCATCCTCTGAATCAAACTCTGCTACCTCCATTAATTCCTCTTCAATCATCACCTTCACACATCAACTTCCAATCAAACTCGATGCTAACAACTTCATTTTCTGGAAGCATCATGTTGAATCCGTTGTATGTGCGCACAAACTCCTTCGATTCATCATCAAACCTGAAATTCCGAAACAATTTCTCTCCATTAATGATGAAACAACATGAATTGTTAATGAACTATATGTTACCTGGGAACAACAGGATCAAATGCTGTTTTCCTGGTTACTTGCATCATTATCTGAAGCTTTTCATGCACGGGTGATCCATTGCAGACACTCGTATGAGCTCTGGAATGAGATCAACACGTTCTTCAGGGCGAGTATTGTAGCAAAGGCCAGATAGCTGAAATCCGAGCTATATACAACTGCAAAAGGTGATCACACCATTTTTGGATATCTTCTACGAGTTCAAACCATCGCAGACAATCTCCTGTCCATTGACGAACCGATTTCATCTAAGGAACACATCAATGTAATCCTTGAAGGTTTCCTAGAGGAATATGAATCCCTAGCTTCATCGATAGCCTCTCGCAGCATCCTCGATCCTCCAACTTTGTCAGAGGTTGAATCTCTCTTGTCTGCCAAAGAGGTACGACTTCAGAAGCTTCGTGAATCGTCTCAGACGAATATTCTGTCTACTAATGTTGCTCGTTTGGAGATTTCATCTGCACCTAATCAATCTGCAAGTGAGAATACCTCGGAAAATGCTTCAGTACAGATTGCTCAGTTTGACAACAATGGTAACCCTAATTCTTATCGAGGAAGAGGTCGTGGAGGTTTCACACGTGGAAGAGGAGGAAGATCTGGAGGTCGGAATGCTATTACTTGCCAAGTCTGTGGAAAACCAGGTCACCATGCCTTGATATGCTATCATCGTTATAATCCATCCTATACTGCTTCAAACCCTACATCCTCAAATCACTATAACCAATACTCAACTCATCCACAATTCTCAAATCCATTACCACATAGACCTTATTATTCTCAACCACAGTTCAACTGGGATCACACTCCACCTTATCATACTTCACCATCACCTACACACCAACAACATCAACCTGGCACTGCACATCAACCACAACAACCTACAGCCAATTGGCCCAGTGCAAATACATCCATTCTAGGACCTCATCCACAGTCCCAAACCTGGTTCCCAGACTCTGGCGCCACGCATCATGTAACCTCAGATTCCTTTAACCTGCAACATAGTGATCCTATTACTACAACTGATAAGCTCTTTATGGGCAATGGTCAAGGTTTGGATATCAAGTCTGTTGGTTTTACTTCCTTTCCCTCCCCTTATCAGTCCTCTATTTCTCTTTCACTTAAAAATATTCTCCATGTTCCTGCAATTACCAAAAATTTGATCAGTGTCAGTCAGTTTGCAAAGGATAACAATGTATATTTTGAATTTTATCCTTATGACTGTTTTGTGAAATCTCAGGTTTCTAATCAAATTCTCTTACATGGGGTTCTGGGACAAGATGGTCTCTACAGATTCACTTCTCTCCCTGCTATTGGTTCACATCCAAGTTCTCCAAATGCTAGTCAGCCTTCTACACAGTGTCCTAAGTCTAGTGTCATGTTATCTACTTGTAATAATTCCTCAGCTTGTAGTTCTACTCAATCTTGTAATCTATGGCACCTAAGACTTGGTCATCCTCATTTTGAGGCTCTTAAACTTGTTCTCCAACAATGTAATGTTTCAAATATAAATAGAAATGATATTGACTTTTGTTCTGCCTGTCACATGGGCAAGGCACATAGACTGCCTTCTCATACTTCCACCACTGAATATAATCATCCTTTTGAATTAATATTCATAGATCTGTGGGGACCAGCTCCTATTTCCTCCTTTGATGGTTACCATTATTACATAGCTTTCATTGATGCTTGTACTAAATACACATGGATATACTTTCTTAAACAAAAATCTGATGCTCTCACTGCCTCTACCAATTTCTCTCAGTATATTCTCAATCAATTTTCCACATCTATAAAGGCCATTCAATCTGAGTGGGGTGGTGAATTCAGATCTTTCACTAAACTTCTCACTGAAAAAGGAATTGTTCATAGAGTCATTTGTCCACACACACACCATCAGAATGGTGTTGTGGAAAGAAAACATCGAACTATTGTTGAAAAAGGCCTATCATTTCTATCTCACTCTTCCTTACCTCTTAAATTCTGGGATGCAGCCTTTGCCACCTCTGTCCATCTTATCAACAGAACACCATCCAAATCTATCTCCGATTCCAGACCATACTTCAAGTTGTATAAATCTGTCCCTATTATACCTTTCTCAAAGTCTTTGGTTGTGCCTGTTACCCATTCAACAGACCCTATCACAAACACAAATTAGATTTTCATACTGAAGAGTGTGTGTTTATAGGGTATTCTTCCAATCACAAAGGCTACAAATGCTTGTCATCCTCAGGAAAAATTTACATCTCCAGAGATGTTGTGTTTCAAGAATCCAAGTTTCCTTACTCTACCTTGTTCACTAATCATGCATCTGTCTCTTCTCCCAGTTTAAGTCCAAATCCTTCTTCTGCACCTATCAGTATCCAATCCTTCACACACCCTATTCAAACCATTGAGTCTTCATCTTCTGACAGTGAGTCTATATCTTCCCAACATCAAAATGATCATCTCTCTTTATCTACCAATCAAAATCAATCCAACCCAAGTGAATCAACACATTCCTCTTCCAGTTCTACATCCACTCCTTCCAATACTGCACATCAAACTACCTCTACCACTACACCACCTCATTCTGTTCCTATTGTTAACAATCATCCCATGAGGACAAGGGCAAAGTCAGGCATAGTAAAACCCAGACTTCATCCTACCTTACTATTGACTCATACTGAACCTAAATCAGTTAAACAGGCTCTAACCTCTCCCAAATGGCTTGAAGCTATGCAGACTGAATATAATGCTTTAATTGCTAACAAAACTTGGACTCTTGTTTCTCTTCCTCCAGATAAACAGGCAATTGGATGCAACTGGATTTACAGGATCAAGGAGAATCCTGATGGGTCTCTAAACAAGTTCAAAGCTAGATTGGTGGTTAAGGGCTTTCATCAAAGGTATGGGTTTGACTTTGGGGAAACCTTCTCTCCAGTAGTAAAGCCTATCACCATCAGAATCTTACTCACTATTGCTGTCTCACTCAAGTGGTCTATCCAGCAATTAGACATCAATAATGCTTTCCTGAATGGTAAATTAGATGAAGAAGTCTATATGGTCAAGCCTCCAGGATTTCAAGTTCAGGATACATCTCTGGTGTGTAAGCTTCACAAATCTTTATATGGTCTAAAACAAGCTCCCAGAGCTTGGTTTCAGAAACTCACCTCAGTTCTCTATGCAGCTGGATTCCAGCAAAGCAAATATGATCCATCCTTACTCATCTATCTTTCCTCTCAAGTTCAGATGTACATTCTTATCTATGTGGATGACATTTTGGTCATTGGGAAGAACTCTACAGCTATCACACAACTCATTCACAAACTTCATTCCTCCTTCTCCTTGAAACACCTGGGAGAGCTTGATTTCTTCCTTGGAATTGAAACACACAAATTTCCAGATGGCAGTCTTCACCTCTCACAAGCAAAGTACATCAGAGATGTTCTAAACCAAGCTGGTATGCTTGAATCCAAGGGAGTCATGACACCTATGGTAGGTACTTGTAAACTTCTGAAACAGGGCCATGATTACTACCCTAGTCCTTCCCAATATAGATCCATTGTTGGAATGTTACAGTATGCCACCTTAACCAGGCCAGACATATGTTATGCTGTGAACAAAGTGTGCCAATTCATGGCTGAACCACTGCAGGAGCACTGGCATAAATCATGGAATTGTTAGATATCTTTCTGGGTCTATAAATCATGGAATTGTTATCAAACCTATATCTCTCTCTCTCTGCAGCTCCTTTACCTATTTCAGCCTATTGTGATGCTGACTGGGCATCTGATCCAAATGATAGGAGATCTACATCTGACTCCTACATACTTCTTGGGACCAACATTATTTCCTGATGGTCCAGAAAACAACTGAGAATTGCAAGATCATCTACAGAGGCAGAATATAGGAGCCTTGCAGATACCACTGCAGAACTTCTATGGATTCAGTCTCTGCTAAAAGAAATTCAAGTTCCCTTCTCTACTCCCAAAGTGTACTGTGACAACCTAAGTACTGTACAGCTGGCTCATATTCCAGTCTTGCATTCCAGAATCAAACACATGGAAATTGATTTGTTCTTTGTCAGAGAGAAAGTTTTGCTAAAGCAACTTCAAGTCTATCACATTCCCTCTCTTAATCAACTTGCTGACATTCTGACTAAACCACTCTCCAGCTCCAGATTTCTTGACTTAAAAGCAAAACTCAGTATGATTGAGTTTCCAAATCAATCACCCTAGTTTTGAGGGGGGAATGTTAGATATACAACATGTAATAGACTAGAAGTACTTTACTTGAGCAACACACTATATAGGGACTCGGTTGTTATTGAAGTTAGACAACTTTGTAACCAACTATAAATATCTGTACTTGACACTATTGTATTCAATGAAATATACAACAATTATCATTTCAGATCTCTTCTCCTCTTCTCTTTCTAATAAAGGGGAAGAGGTGACTTGGCTAAAGAAGATGAGAGTTGGCGGGGTGGGGTGAGGGGGACGGGATGAAGAACCGATATAATAAAAGTATACGGAAATCTTTAGTGAGGAGAAGAGACAATCGAGAATTAATGTATTAAAAATGAATTAAAAGTCCACGAGAATCCATGATTTTAGAAATTTATAAGGATAAACGCAACTTTAAATATGCCTAAACTTTTATAGACTTTTAAAAGTCTACGTTAAATACACCTAGACTTTTGTAAACTTTTAAAAGTCCACATTAAATACATATAGACTTTTAAAATTAGTGAACTTTTAAAGTTTTGCCATTCGCATGGTAAGAGTCTTTCACAGAATCACACGCCACCTCCGTCTTTCTTCTTAGACAATCTACTCGACTCAATCAGCTGGTTTCCTTGCTTCTCTCTATTGATCGGCGAGATTCAATCAGCCATGGCCGCACTGGAATATTTGGATTCGCTTCGCAATGCCCACCCCGAACTTTCCGACTGGTGCACCACCCTTGGAGATCTGTACCAGCAAAAGCTCTGGCATCAGCTCACGCTCAAGCTCGAACAGTTCGTTACTCTCAACATCTTTCAGGTACACATATACATGCATTTGAGTAGATACACGGCTAGGAAAGGAGTAAGTTATTCCAAATCACACCTTAATGGATGAAGCCTTGTTAATTTGTTTAGGGCTTCAGATAATTTCAATCGTGTATCATAACTCTCTCTGTAGGGAACTGTTTTCATACGAGCACCAATTATTATCAACACCTCGTATAAATGAGATTTTTAATGGCCACGTTTCATTTCTGTAAATAAACTATTGGCATTCACAATTTGGCATTGTTGTAAATTTTTTAAATAATTACATATACTGCCTTTAGATATAGGAGAGTTACGAAAGTGTCAACATGTTAATGTGCCATAGATTAGAAATACAAAATATTAAATGATATTTTTCAATGAGATGTGCCATAGAATCCTCCCTATATACAATTGAATATAGACATATAGTTTTATTTTGTTTCTTCCATTTGGATGGGCTATTCACATTTTCTATTACTTGTTAGATTTATAGTGAAATTTGGTAGTTGGGCTTAACTCGGAACTTTGAGTTTTGTATTGCCATGAGACCACGAGTTACTTAGGATTCATTTTGAATGAGTGCTGCTTGACTGTTTGGCATCTTAATATGAAATGTATCCATGACGTCATCTAGGCAATGACTAGGCGTCTAGGGAATGAAGAACGCTTGCTAGGGCAGGATACCTCACCTGAAGAGCGTTGGGGAGTCAATGATGCTGCTTATGCTTTGCTTAGGCATTCATCGATATCCATAATTTTTTTTGCTTGAAATCAATTTTCACCTGGCAACACTACCAGTGTTTTGAGGTTTAAATAGCCACATTAGACTTGAGAAAAAACCCCTGAAAAGAAACACCACAGCTCAAAACTTAATGCATGATTTTCCTCTGTACGATTCATATATGCTTGATTGCTTTAATTTTATGGAAACCATTTCAAAATCTGACTTTATCCATACAGTTATCTATGGAGTTAGACTCATGTCTGATTAAATCTTTTTGTCATGCTATTGTTTTCTTACAGGTGGGAGATGCACTGATACAGCTTTATCATAAGTTTATCGCAGACTTCGAGACAAAGATTAATCTTCTCAAGCTAGCTCATTTTGCTGTCATTGTTTCTCGTCGGTACACAGGGACAGAAGCAGCCATTAGTTATCTCGAAGTTGTGATCGCAAAACTTCATAATACTAAAGAGATGCGCATAGAGGAACCAGTGCTGTATATTAAGATGCAAATTGCTTTACTGAAACTTGAGCAAGGGGATCACAAAACCAGTAACAAACTTTTAGAAACTGGAAAGAGTACACTTGATAGCATGACCGACATTGATCCATCTGTGTATGCAAGTTATTATTGGGTGTCATCTCAGTATCACAAACGTCAACAAGAATTTGCAGGGTTTTATAGAAGTGCTCTCCTCTATCTCGCTTACACTTCAGTAGAGTCTCTTTCAGAATCATTTAAGCTGGTATGCATTTTCTTATTTTTCATTTCTTGTCAATGAAATTGACAATGTTCGTGGTGTCAACATTGTTAAATTTCCAGTTTCCCGTTGGTTTTTCATATGGAGCAGTGCTGCCAGTTTCATACATTTATAAATTTTAGAAGCAAGTAATATGAATCAGTGTTACTAGAGTATATATGATGACCTAAAATATTTGATTTGTGAACATCAGATACTTGGCTTAGTTTTTAAAGTGCTCTCCTTGCGACTTCTTCCATTGATTAATTCCAATATCATCAGAAGCAAGAGTAAACTGCCCCATATCTTTAAAATGGGAAGGTATCAAGAATTATATGTTTATTGTGGGTTCTTCAGTTCTGTCACTGTGACTATATTCAATTCAATCAAGTCCAAGTCCACGGTTTTAAAACTGTTGTCCATGTCAACACCTTGGTTAATCTTCTATTGCATTGCCCTTGCATTAATTCTCAGCAATATAATGTTATTTGATGGAGACAGAAGCAGCCATTATTTATGATCTTGCCTCAATTACTTACATATGGAGTAACTCCACCTTTTAGGTTTCTTTATGGTTTTGTTTCGGCATACATTTTTAAAACTTCTCTTCAATAGTTATTAAAGGACTGTTTTATAAAATTCTTAGCTCTATGTGCTTCTTTTCAGAAGGTAGCAGGACAGATATTTGTTTAATTGCCGATTTTGATGTTGTCTTTATTTTTTGATTAAAAGATCTATGAATTATCAAATTGTCAATCAGGCAGCTGCCAAATGCTCTGTCATTTAAACTTAACTATGTCTAAATTATTTAGGATTTGGCAATTGATCTGTCTCTATCAGCTTTGCTTGGAGAAAACATATACAACTTTGGAGAGTTGCTAGCACATCCAATTGTAAGTTCACTCACACTTTTCTCTTCTTTTGTTGTCTTTTTTGGACCCTATGTTTTTTTATTAGTTTTATTCACTTGCATCTATTTTGTCAGTGCCATCTTTTACTTTATGTTATGTGTTTTCTTTTTCTTTTGCTTTCATTTTTTCATTTTTCAGAGATTTGGTGGTATTCACTGCTTCCTGGTGAAGTGGCTAAACGAAAATTTTTAACAATACACTCCCTCTGTTTTTATTGTATGATGATCCGCCTTCCTTTTGGATTTTTTATTATTATCCCCTGTTTTCTGATTTGGCAAGTTTAACCAAATCAAGATACATAATATCCTTACTTCATCATCTTCTTTTTCTTACATTTTGTACTTTTCATCTTCTCACTCCTACTATTCACTACATCTAAGCATTTTTAAATTTACCATCTGGCTGGCAATTCCTTTGTGAACTCTCAATCAACAAACCTACTTGTCCAATGTTCTGGCCTTCTGGGGCAATCTACTTCGTAACAACAAAATGATGTTTACTCACTTCATGAGTTCACAGATATTGAGCTGTTCATTCTAAAGCGAACCAAGATTATGATATCACTAATAAAATTAGAAAAAAATATTGTTGTCGCGGAAAAGTTGCCTAGAATGTCAACTGTTTCTTTGCTGGAGAGCCACCAAACAAATCTATTACTCCCTCCGTCCCAATTTGATTTGCAAAATTTCCTATTTTGGTTGTCCCAAAATGGTTTTCCACTTTCTATTTTAGGTATGTAAATAAGAATAAAGTGACAAATTTACCCTTACTTTTACTTTTCCCCATTAACTTAAAGAAATCTACTTTTAAAAAGATGGGCAAAATAGTAAAAAGCAAACATCATTTATTGTCATTCCTTAATCCTTGTGCCGGTCAAAGGTTGCAATTCAATTCGGGACGGAGGGAGTACTATGGAGTGACTAGTAGGTCAGGTGTTTCAGCCTCCATAAATAACAAGGCAGTGTGTGCTCTTTCGGCCCATTGTTCAGATGATCCCATAATGATTTTATTTCAGGAAAGCCCACAACTCTTGGTTGCACCCAGGAAACATGAACACCCCCTCAACTTCATCAATTATTTCTTCAATCATAATCTGACACTTCGATGAATACTGTACTATTTTGCATGCTACCCCGTGCTTTATCTGGGGGAAGGGTGGTTTGGAAGTTAAGAGTTAAGACAAGCTACCCTTATAATACTCGTAGATCCAGAACTTCACTGTTTCAAGTTAAGAAGGATACTAATTCTAATAACTGTTTTGTTCTCTCCTCTCAAAGTAGAACTCTAACTATTCTTTCAGTACTACCATCTCCATTACAACATTTGTTGCATATATCACATAAGTTTCATTTCCGCTCAAATTCTATCATGGTGTAGTGCAACGATGGAATATTTCTTCTTTATTTCATACAATCTTTTTATTTTGGCAAAGCACAACGCACAACTCTTAAAACTCTTGCTCATACTTATGGCTTTAAGATTTATTTTTTGTTTTACTAAGTTTATCGGATTGAACTTGTTTCAAATCTTTTGTCAACTAACATGAAAAATAGTTCTGTTTTATGACATAGGACCATTTCAGAACTCATTTGGGACTAAGGCTTGGATGTTGTTGTCGCTGTATGAAATAGGACTATTTCTGGGACAAAGTTATTGGAGACATGAGTTTTTTTTGGGGTGGGGTGGGGTGGTTATAAGGCACTAGTATTCACTGTGCAAGTTCGCTTACTGCTCATACTAGATGAATCTATTATTTAACTTGAGATGCTTGGCACTTGAGCATTTTTGCACAGAGCGAAGAATGTGTTTGTCGTACTCTAATAATCGGTGTTATCTATGATGGAAATTTGCTACAGATAAAGAGCCTTGTAGGGACAAAGGATGAGTGGCTCTACTCTACTCTTGAAGCATTCAACACTGGTGATTTGGCTCGCTATCAAGAACTGTGTCATGTCCATCAAGCTGCTTTGTCTGCCCAACCTGCACTGGTTCATAACCACAAACGCCTTCTGGAAAAGATTAATGTTCTCTGTTTAATGGAAACTGTTTTTAGGTATGATTATCAATGCTATAAAAAGTGTAAGGGGCGGGTTATTAGGTAGGAAAACCATGCGGTTCAACTGAATGCAGTTCAAACTTGTGTCAATTTGCAGACGTCCATCTGAAGACAGAATTATCCCATTCAGTATCATTGCAGAGCGCACTCATTTGCCTGTAGAAGATGTGGAGCATCTAGTTATGAAGGGTCTTGCTGTAAGTGCTCGTTCTTTATTACCTACTTCATCAGCTAAATGTCGTTAAATTTTTAAGGAAGTATTGATCGAGTATATATGTGATTGGTGGCAGGTGCATCTGATAGAGGGAGTAATTGATGAAGTGGAAGGGAGTGTTTATGTTTCCTGGGTACAACCAAGAGTTGTGGGCATTCCTCAAGTAAAATCATTAAGGGATCGCACGGACGATTGGCTCGAGAAAGTGCACCATGCCTTGTTATCTCTGGAGGCCGAAACTCCTGACCTACTAGCTGCTGCATAATAATGCATTTGTGCTCTTGACTTCCCAGCAAAGACACATGATATTCACATTCTATGGTTCCCTTTTCCCCATTATTTTGTTTCTAAAGATATTACATGATATCAAAATGTAACGATTTAGATGGGAATATCTTCTAAGGAAAAATTGAAATTACAAGTCTCGTTTTATCGGTTTTCTAAAACAGTCTTACCTAATGGTAATTGAAAATAATCTGACCGTCAGCACTCCATTTTTTTCCGCCGGTACCCAACCGATTAGTGACATGTTTTAGGCTTTTCCTTAGTTCTCATCCTTTTCAGCAAATACCCGCACACTTTCCTTTTCAGCAAATACTTTTTCAAATTTCTACTTTATTATCTCTTTTTTCTTGATTTTTTTTTCGGTTTCATTTTTCCCTTTTGTTGTCAAATTACATGTGAGTGATTTTTTCTCGAGTTAATTACAAAGTCATCAGTTTAATGATGAAATGGCGATTAACGTGTTGCACTAAAATAACTCCATTGGAATAATTGTTATTCTCATACTTATTACTAATTAGTATTGTTGTTGTTGTTATTATTATTATTATTATTCTTTTTGTTGTTGTTATTGTTATTATTGTTATTATTATTATTATTATTACTCATGCTCCTCATTTTCCACAGTACTACTACGATTCTCACATCAGCAAACTAAGAAAAAGGTGTGGAAAACAGAATATTTTCAATAAATAATCTACTTATGCATGCAAAGCTTTAAACAATAAAATGGTTACAAAGAATATTTGAATAATAGTGTAAATATACAATTTCTCCTGCTTTTCTCAGAAAAAATGCAGCCGGTACACAACTATCTTTCCTGGTACACTAACAGATGAAATCGAAACATCCCACGAGTTCTGGTTGTGAAAGCTCCAAACTTTCACCAAAGTCTTAAGAAAATACTTTGCATGTTACAAGCTTAATATGCTTCTGGACCCAAACAAATGCTCAATCACAAACATCAACGGTAACTACATTCAGAATTTGAAGGTGAAAGAGCTCGGAGACGGGTGACTTCATTATTATCTCTACACCACCTCTTCCTTATCCTTATATACAATCCAACTAGAAAAATACACCGGTTACTTCTTCACTCTTGCCTGAATGGAGATGAGCTGACATCGGTTGTGCTGTAAAATGAATCATCGATCCCGCCGATATAATTATCCTCCTTCTCCTCGTCCCATTTTACCACCTCCCTAATATACTTGAATGCTTCATCCACTGTCACCCTCTCTCTCGCTCGCGATTGCCAAACAAAGAGCTTTCTATCAGTGAGGGAAGCATAAAGGTCTTTGAACTTCATCGCCACGTAGTAGTAGGCTTGTTGTGCTAGTGCTTGATTGTTGTTACTGGTACGCACAGGGCTAAAATCGACAAACCACTCGCAAGCACCTAATGGTGCCCGATTCATCTTCTCCTCGAATAGGTCATACTTATTCAATATTAACACAAAAGGGGTGTCTTTGAAACAAGGGTGTTGTACCATTGCTTCAAATAGTTCCTTGCTTTGCATCATTTTGTTTTGGATTAGCACTCCACTACCACTGTCATCTGGGGCAACCCATACCTGATCATAATCACTCAGAGCAACACAGAAGATAACCACGCGTACATCTTCAAACATCTCTACCCATTTGCGTCCTTCGTTCATTCCCTTGGCATTTAGCCTTATAAGCTGGTACCTGATGGAATGGTTGTGGAGGCATGCATTTCAATTATAAAATAAAGATGATGATGACAATAAAGGTCAGATGGCAACACAAATTTTTAGTTCTTTTTCCCACATATGGATATTAATGTCTAATTTGTTAATTACCTTGTCCAACATGTAAAAAGCAACCTAAATAGTTCACTGCCTCACAAAGCTGAAGCCTTTAGGAACTCTTAGATGTAGTTTGACTAATGTGCATTTTTTACTACAACAACATCCAAGCCTTAGTCCCAAAAGTATTTGAGGTATGATTAAAAGACAACAAAAAAAGATAATATAAAATAGAGACAAGTTATACATATAAATGATAAGAAAAAAGGGTAAAAAGAATATATGTATATATATAGATAAACGAAACATGCATTTTTTTACTATGGTACCTTTTTTTAAATTTGGTAAGGTACACCTTTCCACATTGCTGTCTCACACCTTACTAATGAGACACCAATGTGAGGTGTGATAAGAATATATATAAAAACGAAACATGCATTTTTTTACTATGGTACTTCTTTTTAATTTGGTAACGTACACCTGTCTACATTGTTGTCCACATTCCACAATACTGCCTCACAAAATTTACATTGTTTCTGTCTCTCTTCCTCTATGGTTTCATATCTTGATTCATGTTAGCAGTTAGCCGACCCAAACTCTTTTGATAAGGCTTGGATATTGTTGTTGGCAAGGTACACTTGCTATTTATTAGTCCCACTTGTTTTTTGTTTCAACTTTCAACTAAACTTCTTGAAATCTATTACTGAAAATTGCAGACCATACCTTTAGGATACAATACCTGTCGCAAGCCCTGTTTTTTTGTTTGGGGATGGAGGGACTAATATGCAATGTAATGTAATAAAACATATTTTTAGTGTAAATTTACATGACATAAATTTGATAACATCACATTTCTATTACATGTGTGATTGGCTTGAGAAGCATGGTGTTTCTATCGAATTAACTGATTCCCCTGACCTAGGTAAGCAGAAGGTTGCATTTGACCAAAGTCAATTCTACAAAACTTAAGAACTACTAATAATCTAGGCTGAAGACCATTATATAGCTATTACAAATATCCTAATCAATAAAAAGAAAAATAAAGCTACTACTAATTAAGATCTGACATATGAGCAATAAGATAATCACAGTAATAATACAAAACTAATTCTAATAATTATAAAAGGAAAATAATAGTAGTAATAATAATAGCAATGCTAATAACAACTGCAACACCCTTACACCCGGGGCATTTGCCGGTAATATTGTACTATCTGGTTGTAAAAAAGTTCTCTCTAATTTGAGTGAAACCTTGGAATCATTAATAATTATATTATTATATGATACTATATAATACTTCGTACTACATATGTTCTTAAATAGATGCAACATGTTGAATTTTACACTATTTACATGGTCTACATTGACGACATATAATTTATTAATGTATTATAAATTTAATTTATCATTCATTATTTCTTCGATAAAAGTGTTATTATTAGAGTATTATTGTTCGGAGAAAAAGAGTAATAAAAATGTTAGTTTATAAAACTTTTATTTGCAAATAAAATATGACACACCGCACATTTAATAATTCTGTTTTACTATATAAAACAGAAGATAATAATAGGAAGACTCCTATTATACTTCTCCACATTCCTTTCACTCAGCCCTAGCACGATACACACTCACATTAATTTCATTGTGTCATACCAAACTACACTCAGTACAAAAGGAGCTGCACAACATATTCCAGTTTGCATGGTTGAAAGTCATATGTCCTAATTATCTAAATCAGCATGCCTACTTCTTTCCCTTGTCTATTCAGTGAACCATAGATTGATGATATCACTAACAAGGTATTTCATTCAGAATTAGGTATCTTAAATTCTGGAGTCATTGTGTCCTTCGACAGGTATTGTATCATAAAGAAATGACATGACAAGACATGAGAAGACATTATTACTTAAATTGAAAATTTGCAGCTTCTCAAGGAATTTTCCACATATAAGAAAAACATGCAAGTAATGGTTTAAGTACAACTGCAAAGAATCAAGCATTATGGTAGTATGTAATATAACCTAGTCAGAGGTGGTGGAAGAGATTCCAGATTGTCTGTATAGGTTTCGGACATCGGACTACGGTCATCCAATGAGAATTCCATGAAGGCCAAACCATTTCCCTGAGTAACACCTTCAGCATACAGTACGTCACGCTCTGTAGGTTCATACTCATTGCTTGATACCTCAACAGCCTACAATTAAAAAAGAAGGGGACCAAAAGGTTGTGTTAATTTAAAATATAAGTATTATCAATTCATAATAAGAGTTCAGGAAGTATAAGCTAAACATGTAAAATCCATTACTTTTTTAGGTACTGTTCAAATTCTGATTCAAGCTATTAAAGGTCAAGCACCGAAAATGACCTGTTTATAGCCTTAACAGAAAGAGAAGCCTATAAGAAGTCTTGGAGTAAGGTTCTTGTAGCACACCTTGCTTAAGAAGTAATCTGTCACATCTGGAAGGAAGGGAAGTTCATCTTTCCTCTTGTATGTTTCCTGTATAGCTGGATCCTTCCACACCTCTTCAACTAGAGGAGCATATTCACGAGTTGCTGCGGGGAAGAAAGCATCTAAATCTCCAGTGGCTATGATATCTAAGAGCCAGTCAGAAAACTTCTTCAGCTTTGGGTTTAGAGAATAGACACACTGGTTGCATTCACCAGAGTAAACTCCCCCTACAAAAACATCAGATCAAACCTCATCAATAGCCCAAGGTCAAGGGCCTGGTAAATAGTGCTCGCACATCTTTATAGTGATGTAAGTGTAGCAACGACTCATTAGTCATTATGTTAAACAATCCAAACTGAACAGTACCAATGAACCTGGACCATTTCTTCCAGATCAATTTTCAATTAAAATATCAAGTAATCTTTAGTTTGCTCTAAGATCAACAACTTTTTCCTGGACACTTATTTTCACTTTGGCTGAAGCCTTTACTAAAATGCAGACCACGGAAGAAGGGAAAATTTATAAAGCTAGAGATACCAATATGCGTAACCTGAAATTTGGTTCTATCCAGAATAAACATTTGTAAAGATGGTGACTAAACTTTATGGTTACACAAATACAGGTATTGCAACTAGGATTGCCTAGTAGTAAAAAGTTAGAGGTAAAATTAGACAAAAGATGAAAATTAAGGACAGAAAATATAAAATTAATGTTTGCAGAGCTCTGTAATTCACAATAGTTGTAGAGATTGAAGGAACCTTCGTTTAGTTTTGACAAGGCCTCTTCCTCAAATCGCTCGCGTCCATCGAGAAGAATGCTAAGATACTTGTATATATTGCTCTGAATCATGAGCTTAATATCCTGTATCTCTTCAGCAGTAAACTTGTTCCCGTACAAATATTTGGCCTGTTCAGATAGTGAGAACCCAAAAAAAGGAGAGAGGATATCATATAAGCTGCAAATGTTTCAAGAAACCAAGACGGGGTTCATCACTTCATCATGTGACTCGTCAAGCTAAGAAGTGGATTAAATAAAAGGGTAACAACTGAAGAAAGCCGATGTATCTATGCAAACATTGTACAAAATTTAGAAACCTAAAAAATTTAAAACCACAGGCCCCTTAGACCATTAGTAGAACTAATAGTTTCTTGATTTATAATTATACAAAGGACTATTGATCTATTAATTTCTCTTCTGTTTTCTTTTCTTAGCATACTTCACTATGGTATATAACTTAGAAATAATGGCCCAAATAGGACTGTTAGAGTTCTATTTGCCAAAAAATATGACCCGTATAGGGTTAGACAAAAGAGTGACCCGTTCTCGCATCTCATCGTTCTCGCACATCGCCTCTCTTCAACTGCACCGGCGCATGGCCACGGACAACCAGAAGCTTTCATCTGTGAGCTCTGCTACCCCTCATCCCGTCACCTCAATCTCTGCCACCTCAACCTTGCTCTTGCACATCTCTTCGCCACCGCCACCGCCGCTGAGAGAACCATCTATCACCTGCTCTGATCGCCATCGTCGCCTCTTCGTGTTTCGTTTGCTATGCCGCCGCTGCAACTCATCTTTTCTCCTTTCTTCTCGGCCAAATCCCTATCGGTTCCCTTATAAGGGTGTCGCCCCTAGATTTTTCAGATCTAGTCCCAGCTAGATATGGTTAGGGTTGGCCATGGTTGAGCGTTGGACAGGCAGCGGTTGGATGATGGAAAGCGGTGCGGTCAGGAACTGGTCGGGGTGGGGGTGGATTAGTGGCACGGGCAGGGATAGGGGTGGGAGAGTGACTGAGGCTGTGTGTGGACTAAGGTGGGGAAGGGGAGACGGTGGTCACCGGTGTTAGGACTTGGGCCTAATAGACTGTTAGGAATTGGGCCTAATAGACCAAGAATAATAATAAGTGTACTAGATTAGTATAAATAGAATAAGCTGGGAGAAGTAAAGTAGGCTATTTTAGACTTTTGTCTTGTACTCGGAAGTTAGAGACTAATACTCTCTCTCTTTGGGGGCTTCGGCCATTGGGGGCTTGTTCTTCTTCAATAAAGCTTCTTGAATTGCTTTCTTTGAATTCTGTTCATCTTTCTGTGAATTTACTGTGTACCTCTATCAACCGGCCAAACCGGGGGTGGTCACCGACCGCACGAAGGTGGTCACTAATCCTACGACAATGCTCACTGCCTCTTGGCTATCACTATGACCGGCATGGTCACTGGCCAGACGGTGGTTGGGGGCGGGCTTAGAGGGGGCTATGGGCTATGGAGGGGGATTGGGGGCTGGTGACGGCAGGGGTAAGCCAGGTGGGCCATATGGCGGCGGCCGGAAAGTGGCGGAGGTGGCCGGGCAATCACTGTGGCCGGTGTGCGGGTAGTCACTGTGGCCGGTGGGCAGGGTGGGTGGGTAGTCATTGTGGCCGGTAGGCGGGAGTCACTGTGGCCGGAATCACTAATCCTACGACAATGCTCACTGCCTCTTGGCTATCACTATGACCGGCATGGTCACTGGCCAGACGGTGGTTGGGGGCGGGCTTAGAGGGGGCTATGGGCTATGGAGGGGGATTGGGGGCTGGTGACGGCAGGGGTAAGCCAGGTGGGCCAGATGGCGGCGGCCGGAAAGTGGCGGAGGTGGCCGGGCAATCACTGTGGCCGGTGTGCGAGTAGTCACTGTGGCCGGTGGGCGGGGTGGGTAGTCATTGTGGCCGGTAGGCGGGAGTCACTGTGGCCGGAATCACTTTGATCACAAATTTGGAAATATAAAAAAGAGGTCACATTTTTGTCTTTTATCCTCATTTTTGTAATATCGAGGACAAAAGGCCTTTAACTTATTTATCATTATTAGCATATAAACAGTCCTGACGCTTTAGGCAAAAGGGACCCGTAAGAACAAAGAGGATGGTTAGACTTGTATTTAACAACATGTTTTGTTTTCATTTATTCATAAGTTTTTCTGAAAATTTTAAAGCGTGACAAAAAATAACACTTTTGGGAGATTGGTTCAAACAGTGAAAAAATCTAGTCCCCCCCCCCCCCCCACAACTAGTCAATTATTAGGTTATTCCCACTTCACTTTTGCTGCACGACTTGATTCCTTGCTACTTTGGTCCTTTCCAGTTTGTATGAAAAGAGGTTGGTTAAGTGGCTTAATGCACCAAAAGTGGCAAGAAATTAACAGTAGGGCATGAAATGTGGAGATTGTGAAAGTTGGAGGCCAGAAGTGGAATATATTCAAATCATGGATATCATCCATGGCTCCCAATTTCTCATGAATTAAGATATCCGTGAGTTCATTGCCTCCACCCTCAAGTTCAGCTGTCCAAGAAACTCCTTTTTATTGAGGAAAGCCTAGGCATTCTCGACATCATACATTATTTAAAGATGCCGTCAAAATTCACTGTTATTTACCTATGTATGAGTCCTGCGGAGTTTGGGTCAATGCTAAAATCTATTTTAGGGGGGCTGGTTTGCTATTACCAAGATATTAAGGCACAATTGCATATTGATGTTCCTATTCTCAATGTTTAAGGATCACCGAAGAGTTTGAACCATTATGTTCAACCACGGGTTAGAAAAAGGCCAACTAGTCGTGCATTGAACTACTAAGTGAGGAATCTAAATGAGCTCTTTATGATATCCATCTAGGATGATAGCATAGAATGAGCCATGTAATCCTGTTAAGGGAACATGTATCATAACAAGATTCAGAACATTTTATTATATTATTATAAGGACCAGCATCTTGTGCATGCAAGTTGTGATTTGCAAAAAACTAACAAACACAAAAGCTTAATGCATGCCAAAAAAAAGAATATTTTAAAAACACAAATGAATTACTTACCTGTTTGAATATGGTGCTGGTTCCAGAGCCTTCCAGTCCAAGTAAAAGAAGTTTTTGAACTCTTTTCTGCTCCAAATAGTTTGGAATAGCAGTATATGTGCTTGGTTCATCCCTTTGACTATGTGGCTGGCCATTGGGTACAGGCAGATGAAGCAATGTGCAGAGGAACCGTGTTGATGCCTATGCAGTGGAATAAGCTTTAGATATTTTTTTTCTACAAGTGAGGCAAATGAAATCAACACATCATAGTTCCTCTCCATACCTTTTCCCATATATTTCCTCTGATATTATTCTGTCCTTCCTCCTCATAGCGGCCATCATCATACACCCAAAAGTGGGTGTCACGGGGACATTGCACATTTGCAAGCTAAATAAAATATTAAATTCCAAAAAATCAGTTGATTTATGTATGGATTCACTTTTACATGTTTTTCTGCAGAGCACATGGCTTGCTCAGGGGGGTGGGTGGGGGGGTGAAAAGATTATAGAAAACTGGGACTAGATAATAGAAGGTTCTCCTGACAGGCCAAACAAAATAAGTCGCCATGAATATTAGAACATATATGATAAACATTTCCATCCTTAATAAGATTCCCACCTACAAGTTTTAACTTTTAAATTAAATCCTTATACATAAAATTATAAATTTCATAGCAAAAGTGTAATCATAATATATTTTGACATCTGGTTCATATTTCTGGATAAAACATTTCTTAGTTCCACTACAATCGACTAAGGAGGTAGACAGAGTCTTTATGAATTATGAACCCAACTATTGCCGGTTCGCTAACAATAATCCTAACTATTGATTCTATTATGGCCATAACGATTTAAAAAAGGAAAAATTGAAAATAATAAACCCAACTATTGCCGGTCCGCTAACAATAATCGCAACTATTGATTATTTTTGTAAAATCCCAACTATATGAACCGTCCGCCAATAATGGTCCATGACCGCATATTACCTGCTATAACAAGTGAATTTTTAATAGAAATTAAGCGTAAAAGTTAAAATTTGGGATTATTTATAGGGATTACCTGCTATATCTCTTTAGAAACTATAGGAATTTATTTATAGTCGGTCACGTCAGACCATTATTGGCAGAAGGTCCCTAAAGTTGGGATTATTCTTAAATAATCAATAGTTGGGATTATTATGAGCGGACCGCCAATAGTTGGGATTATTACAATCAATTTTTCCTTTAAAAAATCACAATTAAAGCAGGACTAGACAGAACAGGAGCCAGGGCTCACACAGCCTTAGCTTACCAGTTGTAAGTTGTAACAAAAATGGTTAATATGTAAGTTGCCCTTTACGGAATATATTGGTTACAAAAAAGTAAGCACGAACTACATGCCTAGATGATAGGACAAAGCCTCACCGTTAGTACTCTCAGTTCACGTTTTGTTATCTCCCGGCCATTCATGAAGACCTGAGTGTTCCCGTTGCTTGCATGAGGGCTTAGTTTCCCAGTGAAGCTTAGGTTTGAGCACACTATTCTGTCAGGTTTTTCTCCCTCCTGATCAATTAAAATAAGGTAATTGTTCTTGCGTATTTTTTACTTTAAAAAATAAAACTCGGTTTGATTAAAAAGGAGGAAGCTCCTACCTTTCCCCAAAGACCAGACTCTTTGTCATACCAATATCTGCCGGGCTTCAACTTTCGAGGAGGTAAAGGGCATCCTAACAGTTCTGCCATCTCTTCTGGTTTCAAGGGGAATCCATTGACAATCAGCTGCTCTGGCCTAAGCTGATTAGCAGCACATTCTTTCTCAGCTTTCATTATTTGCTTAACTTCCAAAGGATTAAGCAAACGTGACAACACCCTAGAGTGTTTCCCCAGCTTGGACCGTTTGGATTCATCAATTGGCTCACCAATGCAAGTAACACATTTTCTCCCCTCTGGCATAGACCCCATAGCTCTAAGCACACAATTGCTGCAATATTTTGCATCACAAACCAAACACGACTCCTTGGTTTCCCATTTTCCTTTTCCACACCTGCAACACAGTCTTGTTTTCTTTCTCTTTTTCATTTCTTTGGAAACGCCAACATACTCATGAAAAGCTTGATCCTCCATTTTCTTAACGGATCTATCAACTGTATTGAATGTCACGACAGCGGCTCTCTTCCCCTCATTGAGAGCCTGTCTAGGAGAGTCTTCCGGAAGGTTTTGTGCAGAAGCAGGTGATGCAGACGGAGAACCAGAAGAAGATCCAGGACTCAGGACAGATACCTGGGACTCTGAGCTTCTTGACACCCTGGGAGGACTCTGACTGGGCGGGCTGGTGACATCGGCAATGCACGAGACTGGTATAGGTATCTGGTCAACTATGACATCGTGGGTCATTGATCTTCTTGATTCTGAGAGAGGTTCTGCTTCTGATGCTGTTGGAATTGCATCACTATTCACACCAATGGGCTCTATCTTTGGAAGGTCATACAATATTGGAGGACCTCTGTACTCCATAGCTATAGAGTATTCCAGATTAGCTCCCTCTTCTGGGAGAGGAGCCCCTGGAGGAAGCATCCTTCTCACCATCTTTCTCCAATCCTCACCATGACATTTCTCCATTGTTGCTCACACAAACATTAACCAAATCTCCCCCTTTATTATCTTCAGCAGCAGCAGATTCAGTGTTCCAATCGATCACAACTTCTCTGTTTCCGTGCAACTTTAAAACACTGAAATTTGTAACAAATCAGTTACCTTCCCTCTATACTGCATCTCATCAAAAAAAATCCCAAGCTGGAAATCATCAAATATCTGTCATGTCGAAGGATACCATAAATGCTGATTTGGGCACTGAATAACCTAAAAGCCACCCCCAAAACGCAGTTTCAATCCACAAAGCCCTTCAATCTTTAAACAGCTGGTAAACCTAGAAATTGCGTCAATAAAATCGAGAAGTCCAATCAACGAACTTTTTAACCAAGCAAAAACCTAGAAGCCGTAGCCCCAACCCCCCACATATATCATTAAATGCAGAGTAGTTTGGGTCGAAGGGACAATAATTAACAAGTATGAATGCTGATAATTTCCAAGTCAAAGTTAATTAATGAATAATCTAATCTAATCCCCGACCTGCAGCAATCAGTGATAGTTTCGACTTTTAACGCACATCACACGCATGATAAACTGAAAAATCAAGAAAAGATGCTCGTTAAAGAATTTATTACTCCATTGAATCTGGGCATATGGTAAAAAAAGAAAAGGGGTTGAATTTATCCATACCAGACTATCTAAGACCGAACCCAACGAAGAATGGGTACAAAGAGGTCAAAGTAGCTTTACTTTTCGAAGGCTCAAAGCTAAAAAACGGATAAGAATTAAAGTGGTGAAATAAAAATGGACTTTTACTGTTTTTCGGAGAAGTTGCTGCTGCTGCTAAAAGACAGATGAATTACGCACATGAAAGATGATAAAGGTATTCTGTGTTCTTGGGTACAAATTTGGAGGTGTGGGCAGATCATTGCTCTGAATACACCGGATGGGAAAGACTGGGGGTGGGGTCCACGCGCTGTAGAGTGTTGAATAATATTGGGTCCTGAGTTTTTACAACCATTCTTGATGTACACACCCTTGTACACACTATGTTTGTGAAGTGTTTTTTTTGTCTGTGAATCGATGTTCACAGACAAAAAAAATAGCTTTCACAGATATATGTGTGTACAAAAAGTGTGTATAAACATCATTTTTGGAGTTTTTATTGGAGTCGGTTGAAATTCTATTCATACTGGGTTCAACTCACAGGATCCACATCCGCTCTAATTCGAACCTAAAAGTCTATAACTTTCCTGCTCTTTGAAGAAGCAGAAACAGATATTCTAGTGTTTGGGTGAAAATGCAGAAATATTTTTGAAGGATCAAGATCATTCCTAAATTGGATTTTTGGAAGTTGGAAAAGACCGCTTTCTCAAAAATTGATTCTGATTATACTTTTGCTTTAAAAAACGTAGAAACATAATCAATTCCAAAAAAGTAAATTAAATAATGTTTCACTTATTACTGATAGCCCACGCTAATTTATTAATCCTTTAATTTACTAAGCTATGACTGAATAATACATTTTAATATAGTGAAATTACATATAAGTATAGCCAAAAGAAATGGTTCATCAGATGGAATGACAGCTAAAGTTTAAAGAGTATTCACAAGTTGCATCAGTAATTCGATGAAGAAGACTGGAGGGACACTTGCACTACTACTACACATCTCACATATTATGTGTGCCAACCGTGAGAAAGTGTTGGTCTAAAGTATGACGCTCACCATCTTTGAGCAAGAAAATCAATGGATATTAATAATTAATCCATAGATATAGAGAGAAGATAGAGAGGAATGAACAAACTAGAGAGATAAAATGTATGATGTGAATGAAATTAGAGTCTATTTGTAAAGACAATCGGATCTGGGCCTATAGCGGCAGACCTAAAGTAATAAATGTAATTTCGAGTACCTAATCCTGGATAATATATATTATATATTCATGGGAAGCCGATAAGCCGATAGAAATCCCAATAAACCAAGTAAAATAGAGAGCAATAGGGAAATGATTAAAGTAGTAATAGTGACATTTGTATTATCTACCATGATCTATTATGGCTTTGTTTGGATGGATGTATGTGGTCCATAAGCTAAGGTATGGTGTACTCACAGATCAAGTTCTTTTTTTTAAAGCCTCTTCAAAGTTGTAACTGATATCGTAACCAGAATTGAATCATCATCTCTGGATACAAAATCTTGAATTGGGACAGAATTCGCATAGTAGCGGTTCTAATTAGGTTCTGAATTGGCACTTCCAATTCTAAGTCTTAGCTTGTCCAATTCGCTGATTTAGATTTTTTTCCTTCTTCTAATTCTTTCATTAAAACTACGTAGTATTCCCCTATGGTTCATTAGAACAAAAAATGTCGTAGTTTGTGAATAGGCAATTTTATTAAAAAGAGACAAATACATAGTTACATTAAAAGAGACAACAAGCTTCGATACTTTGCAGAAAATTTAGCAATCTATTTATATACAAAAGGAAGAGAAAATTGAACAACTTTCTCGTCTAAATTTACAGATAAAAGTGGGTCTAGATGGGTAAATGTGAGCTTGTTAAATCAATGTTAATTTGGGAGACCTTTGAAATATAATTAAGAATTGATTCTTCTTTACATATTACTAAGAATAGTTATTTTATTTGCCTTGTCATTGTAGCAATGTTGCCCTTAAGTTAAGATATGTTGAAGAAATGGACGATGTGAGAGAAAATAAAGAGTAAAATGTTTTCAATATGTAGAAGACAAAGATAAATTCACAGTGAATTTGCAATAGGTCAATGTGTTTGAAGAAGGTAGAAAAATGCTAGCTCCAACTACGATATTAATATAAAAAGTTGGGTGATAATTCAATTTATTGGAACATAAGAAATTACTAATGCATGAGTTTATGAAATGAAAATGATTGATCCATCGAACCATATTAGTGAAATAATGTAATATCCAACTCCACCCTCCCACTACAACTATACCCAAAAAGCAAGTGATTTTTTTCTAAAATAATAAATGTAGATTCCTCATTTTATTTTCTACGTACTCACATAACAGATAGCCACTAATCCTTTTCACTAATATGGATTTTGTCATCCTGCTCGCTTAGATATTGAATTTATTTTCTGCGTACTCACATAAGAGAGGGTGGGTCACTAGTCAATTTCACAAAACCCAAATATGGATTCTATCATCCTGCTCACTCACACAATGAAAGAGATGAAGGCTGGTGCGAGACAGCGGCCAAAAAGGAGGAGTGGAGTACCCATTTCTTCACTTGAATGTTGCCACTGCCACTAAAAGTTCAAGCATTCTAATGCGCTTACAATTTGCGACTCTTGCAACTTGTATTGGCACGTTTAGTAGGACTCGATTAATTTCAGGTGTTATATATTACTTGTATATGACTTTTGTACTAATACACAAGTAATATATAACATTTATACAATTAGAGTCGCAAATTGTATAAATATTATATATTACTTGTGTATTAGTACAAAAGTCATATACAAGTATGGGCATGGCACACTTGTGTTGCCATTAATACTACGTAGTACAAATATTACTGGGTATATACGAAGTATTACATAGTACTTGTGTATTTGTATGTAAAAATATAATACAAGACTAACATCAATCATATTCATTTTAACACACATTTCTCACATTTTCAACGATATATCTTTAACCAGAACAGATTGAAGTAGTTTTCCGCAATAAAACAAGACAAACATCAATCATAATCATTAGCACACGTTTGAGAAAATGTGTAAAACTGAAACCTATAATACATCATCACATGGACAAATAATGGCAGCCTGCCTGTATCTTCTAAAAATAATAAAGCAAGCTGAAAGGTCGGTGACATTTTGGGATGTTGAAATCACAACTCCAAACATTTATTGTTTTCATGGCTGACATTTTACTTTGTCAGTCAGTGTCTCCTCCCAGCAGCACATGAACCACCACCTGGTGTACATAACAGCAGATGCATTACAGATACTTGATCATTCCACGACCCTCCACGCTGATTTTTGAAGCTTGGAGAGACTTCTTTTTTGGTGCTTTTAGTTGCTGCAATTTCTTATTCATCTGCAAGTAGACGTAGAGATCAGATATGTCCAGAAATGCATCATGCTAATCATGTTAGTCATTTTTGTATAATATGGCACAACCAGAACCTGCAGGGGTAAGACATTAAGCAAACTCTTTGTGCTTTAGTACAAGGGTAATAGTACAAGGGTAAGACTGCGTACATCCGACCCCCCTTACCCCACCGAAGGTGTGGGAGCCTTTGCGGTACTGGGGAAATGATGATGATGAATGATGATGATGGCACAAACTTGGCACACACTGTTGCTATAGTGTTTCCATATATATTTGACTGTAATTTTTACTCTTTCAAGTTTGTAACTTGACAGTGTAATTATTATAATTAGATTTGAAACTTCAACATTATATTAAAGCCTATGCACTGATGGCCTATTTAAGTTCTCTTTTTCCTTGCATATCATTATTCCTACAAGTCGACTTAAAGTAATACTTCGGATAATAATACTCAAAAGCCTAGTGGAAGTAGAGCAGAAAAGCTCAATACCCCACTCATAACCCCCCCCCTCTCCCCCCAATGAACACAAGGCGATATACACTTCCAGCAGCGCCAAATACAAAATTATTAAAAGGTGTCTATGGTTTTCTCTGTCATTCGTTTAGTTTCTTCAGGAATCAAATTAATATTTCAAGATTTCATATATGAACAACGGTGACTCAGTGGCTAGTTAAGTGAACCTTGAGTCGGCGCTGGTCTTGCACTACTTGTTTTGCCCTGGCCCTAACTTCATCAGGATCAATTTTTGATTGAGGACGGACCACAAAATCCATTAACATGGCTTCAGGTCTGGAAGTAAGTTGCCTCCGGGCAGATGACTGGCCAGACTTCTGCCCCCTGCAAATGTTGATAATGATCAAATTTTCGTAAGGATCAATGGGTGTAGATGCACCACTTCTCAGACTCATGTGTGCTGTATGAAGCCTTACTGTGAAAATCCAGCCAAATCAAGGTCATCATCCCTAGATTGCATTCCAGAAGCTTTATTCACTGGCCTATTACAAAAAAATAGATGCGTCATCAAGAGTCCAAATAAATCAAAATATCATATAAACAACATGCAGTGAGTGAGTTATTAGATACTTTTTCACTGGTGGCCTCCTGTAAGGAGACCTCTCTTCTTCAAAGTTCTTCATGTCTTCAAACCTTGTGCTCTTATTGAATATGGGTCGACTCTGAATCAATGGAGTTGAAGTGCAAGTCAGCAGATTTAAAAAAAAATGAACCATAAAACTACAGGGTATTGATGCTTTTGTTAAACTTCAACCAAAACATTAAAAAAACTACGTAGTATCCTTTTGTTAAAACCAACCAGAACCTTCACAGGTCTCTGCATAGACTAATAACACACACAAATATAGTTTTGACAAAATCAGCGGCACTACAGATAGTATCCCTGTGATTATCGCACCAATCAGAGTTTGCTCAGATGCGTGAGAAGCATCTGAAAATGTGCCTTATGAAAAGTTGATGGACAGACGACACATCAAAATCACATTAACAAATAACACATGCAAAAGAAAGCAATATAAATCAAATTTACCCATTTATCAACCAAGTCCTTTGCAAGCTTCCGGTTACCCGTGGTCTCTTCATCCGACTTCGAAAGAAACATTATCACCTGCTGACAGCAGATGGAGAATATTATATATAAAAAAAAGATTTCTTCTCTTGTAAATAGTGGTGGACAACAAAAGTGTATAATGGCATGGTCCATATATGTTTGAAGTTTGAACTCACCTTTCCAAGACCACTCTTTTTCAGCTGTTCCTTTCTATCATACTGTTCTAAATCAATTGGATACTGCAGAATGAACACAATATTTCCAGTTTAAAACTATAATGATTAGTAAAGCAACAATGGTAATTTCACATGAACCTTCACATTCCATACATCTGTTAAGATCTTTAAGATTGCTGCACGAATATTTATGTTGGGCAGGCTTCCATCTGGTAGAGGCTCAAGCCAATTCTTAAGAAGTGTCAACACTCCATGGTCTAAAAATTCTTGCTGAAGTTGTTTCCTGGATATTGTAGTCGAGAAAGGTATGACATGCAGTTGTAAATTTGCAGTTAAACAAATTAAGATGAGTGCCTTCCATTGCTACTTTATTTAAATCCCAAATGAACTCACTTCGACAGGACATCAGTAAGAAGAGGCAGTTTTTTAAGTTTATTGATAGCAGGTTTGGACTGTCTATTCAACTCAGCATCTTCCTCGGCAACAACTTCTAGTTCAGCCATTACATTTTCAACTAATAGTGAAATTTCATGAGCACTTTTTTCACTTTTCTTCTTTTTCTTCCCCACCTTGAATAGATCCTTTATTTCATCATCCTCCTCACCTTCTTCAGCCTACCAATAATAAAACAGGAATAGCGTAAAAACTACTGTACTAGGTACCAATAGTTTCCACAACGCCTATGTGGAAAACAAAACAAAAACAGGAATAGAATTCTACCTGTGGATATCTTCCAGGGGAATGCCGTTCATGATCACTTCCATACCTGTCAGCCGGATCTACACCACTATCATCAATGAAGTTATCATCATCAACTGTCTTAGCACCATCTTGGTCATCCTACAGCATAAAAAACAAACAAATTAATCAAGTGCATCTGTGTCACCATAAGATCAAGTGCATAGACCTCGATACATTCAGTATGAACATACTCTATTCACAATAACCATACAGTGTAAAGACTAAAGACCTCGTGCCATTAGAATAGTTTCATTTTTTGTCAAGATTGAGACCTAGCCCAGATCTAGCAATGGATAACTCTGTTTACCAGTATATCTTTTTTGTCCACTTCTAACCATGTTATCATTTCCCAGAGTCGGGCTACAAATACTAAATAATTGGATGATGTGTGGGCAGTCTGGTTTGCTATTAGTCATATAGATGCAATCAGCCAAGTTAGATCAAATTCTCAGAAACATACTTTGATCGACCAATTGAAAAGTTCTTGGTTTAGGATTAAACCATCAAAAACATATAACAGATAGTGGGAAAAACTTCTTATCAGAGTGGTAGACGAGTAAAGGATCAACAAACCTCAGAATCGCCACCTGCAACAGTGTCCCACAACTCCTTGAGCTCCTGATCACCCTCATTGCCCCTCTTGCCTGCATTGGAAAGCCCTCCACTCTTCCTTAGTTTAAACTTTTTCTCACCTTTCTCCCTCCTATTCTTCCCTTTTCTTTTCTCCCCACTGCTCTCCTCAACTCGCCTCCTCTTCCCAGTGCCAGAATAGGAGGACTCATCGCCATCAGATACATCCCTTACTGCCTCCTGGACGCCATCATCGTAGACATCTTCATCCTCAAACCCAAGATCTGGAGCGGTCTCCTTCCCACTAGACTTCTTAATCAACCTCTTCCGTGGCTTGGATTTGTAATCATCTTCTTCATAAACCGGGCTCTGGGAGCGTTCGCGCTCCGGCTGGTCCCATCCATCATCCTCAAGATTGTCATCAAGAACGTTTTCCTGGGATTCGTGATCGGACTGTCCACCCTCGTCAAAGTCCACCAACGCCTCTCCGTCCTCGTCTACGTACCTGCAAAATCGGAAATCCCTCAAACCCTTCCTTATTCGACTCATAAACGTCGCATGACCCCCCGCCCAATTCACGAATTAAATCAATGAAAAACTTGAGAATCGACTGAAACATGAAGAATAGCTTACGGATCGTTTTCGTAACCCATGAATGAATGTTGATTATGCTCGGAGACGAAGAGGGATTGGGGTTTTTTGTTTTAGCAGCACACAATTAATTCAACGTTGGAAGCAGCTATGTTCCATAAAGAAATTTTATTTTATGGAGAGTGTTCAGCTAATGGATTGATTGGGTTGAACGTCAAGTAAAACGTTTGACTTGGTTCCGTCTTTCTTTTGATTTTTCCCAAACCTGTTTCAGTATTTTTTACTACGTATGGAGTAAGATATAAAATTATATTACCTCCCTCCCAAATTGATTTGAAAGTACTTTATCAAGAGAAAGTACTTTTAAGGTGCCTATATAGTACATTCGGGTGTATGTACCCTCAACCCAACTAAGGAACACAAACCAATAAATAGTACATGTCAAATTTTTTCAGTGATATTTTTTGTAATTTAAACGAAAAATCACGACTTCCGCTAAATGAGTATCACGATCTCTGCTTCATATCTCTTAATTCTTTTTATTTTTCTTATTTTTTCATTTATAAATACTTATCAAATTATATAAATAATCAACTCCTATTAATTTCAGTATGTGAGTCTAATGAGCATACATAACGAATGATCATACGTAACTTACAAAGTGCACATTAAATTGAAAATTGTAAGGGTTGTTAGTTGAACATCACGATATTTTAATTGAGTGTCATGATCTATGCTCTTATATCTATAATCAACTCCTACATGAATCTAAAATATAAACTGAAATATTTAACAATATTTTATATTATACATTTTCATAATAATTGAATATAACATTAAAATAGAAGGTTGCTAAAAAACAAAAAAAAAACAGAAAGGAGAACAAACAAAAAACAAAAGAAAAGAAAAGAAAAGAAAGGAGAGTAAGGATGAACGTGAGTGGAGCAGCGGCAGAAAAAGAAGCAACTCACAACTTCAGCCTATTAATTACAAAAAACGGATATACATGTACACCCAGGTGTATGATATAAATTGTGGTACTTTTATAGATGTATTAATTTATAACTTTCTTAGGAATGCATTGATCAGAATTATTGATCAAATTTCATGGGATGGATTTTGTTATTTTGTTGTTGTTGATACAACCCCAATTGATTTGAAAAGTTGTGACAAAATTTCAACTTTCTCACTTAATGGTATTAATTAATTAATTACAGAGTAACTTTTTCATTTTGTTGATTTATTTTTCTGAAACTATTCACATATCGAGATATATTTACATTTAGGATTTAAAATTTGGGATTATTCATGTCCAAAATTTAAACAAGAAGTGAATATAACGGTTTATTGTTCGATTTTTATCAGTTTAGTTTGATTTGGAACGCATCGAAAGAATTGTTACAAAACAAAAATCATACGGAGTTCGGTTCGGTTTGGTTCGATTTGGATTTGTTAAATTTTTATTGAATTTCTTTAGTTCGGCATCAGTTTTATTCAGTTTTTCTTGGTCTCTGTTCGGTTCAGTTTAATGCAGTTGGAAGAAATACTGCTATACTCAAATCATATTAATATAATCAAATTTCAATTCAGTTTAGTTCATTTTGATATGATTCAATTCGATTAAATCAAATCCATATACTCAACTATACTTTAAACTATTTTTAAGGATATATGATTTCGATCCCTATTCTTTGAAATTGCAAGGGTTATACATTCCCTTTGCGAACCGCAAATTTCAGATTCCGCCCACGTTTCACGTAAAATTACCCTATTGAAATATTAATGAAAATTAAATCTCCATTCTAATTAAAAATAATTGATTCTAATTAATATCCATTTTATGTCTTTCATCATCACCAAACAATTATGGTGGAAGTAGATTTGTTGGGGTCATTAAAAACACTAATGTGTTTATTACTAAAAAGCTTAAATAATGTGATTTATGTCGCTTACCAATTCTGTATTTTGGTCGGTAGGATGTTGGAATCAAGTTCAAATGGGAAGAAATGTATTATTTGAGTTGAACCAGACATGGAAAGTATGTCATCTTGAGTTGAACCGGTCATAATTAATACAATGTCAACACTACTTTGAGTGTTGTAATTTTGACAACTAGCTCATGTTTTGGGCATCATTGTTTTAAAGTATATATTAACTTATTTTCTTTGATAAACTAGTCTTTCACTTGTGTGTTGCACGGGTATGAAATTAATCAAAATATAACTATGGAATGTAAGTTATTCGTTAGTTAAAATTGTCTCAAAACTTATGAGATATCTTAAAAAATAATATGAAGTGCTTTTGTTGAAAAATAAAATAAGTGAAAATCGCACTTTTGATCGCTCATATTAAATTGTCACACCCGTATTTTAAAATTGTAAATGTCACTCCTGAATTGACAAACATAGAACATGGCTAGCTGACATAGAACTCACCACTCTAGCTAGGATATGAGCGACCAAATTCGCTGAACGCTTAACATAGGAAAAACAAATATTAGCAAACCCTGAGCTTAGGTCCCGAACATCCTCCAAAATTAAGCCACTGCTTGACAAACTTGTACCATTCTTGATTTCATTGATGACCAATAATGAATCTGACTCGATCTCAACGAAGTCCCAAAGTTGATCTTTAAGCAACTCCAAGGCTTTCTAAATACTAAAAAAATTCAGATTTCAGAGGAGTACAACAACCTCTCCACAATTTCGTTCCCCCATCTAAAAATTACCCTGCATCATCCCACACAACCCAACCTAAACTATAGGACTTATTAGCTATTGAGGCATCGGTATTCACCTGCTTTTTCACCAACGCGAACTGCCCGCCACCAGTCTTGCGCCTCTTGCTTCCAGGATGTTGTGCCGAACTACCGACCTCCAACCTTCAAGAAAAGCCTTGGCCTGACTCATGAATTGATTAGGAGCAAAGGAAACCCCTTGCCATATCCTCTTGTTACGCTTTGTCCATAATCCCCAACAGTCCAAGGCAGCAGCCATAACCTCCTCTTCTCTCTTGGTTTGAAACACTTTCTGTAACCATTCCAGAAAAGAGCTAAGCGGGGTATCAGACACCGACCAGCCAACAGATGGCCAAGCATCTCATGCCATTGGACATTCCATGAAAAAATTTCCATCTAGATCCCATCTCTAAACAATCCTATCCGAAATTGACCACAAACTCAAAGGGATCTGCCTGATTATCCTCACGTCCCTGATGAGGTCGGCCAAAATGTCCTCTTACCACACTATCCTAAGCTGAGAGATCAAATCTGCCACCTTAATATCTTCCAAACCTGTTAAAACAAAAGAAGTAATTTTAGGATTAATGTCATCAGGTAACCAAGGGTCTTCCCAGACCCGAAGAGATTTGCCATTTTCCACACGCCACATATACCCCTCTCTAGTTATATCATGGGCTTCAAACATGAGGTTACATTAAGAAACTTTTCATGACAATTCATGAAACTTTTTGGTTCTTATTATTACAATCAATAGGATAACAAAATGATAGCTATAGAGTATAGTGCTGCAAGCCTGCAACCATTCACATTAAGACCTGAAACCATTTACATCACTAATATGCTATTTATAAACCTTACATGTTTTTGACGTAGGGTCCATGTCATAGTTTCAGTAGCTCAAATGAGAGATTATACTCCTAAGTTCCTAAAATAATTACTCCTAAAATACATCAACACAGCCAAAGTTTTTAGAGTATGAGGAAATAAGTTAACTTTTTGTTTAGCAAATATGAAGAAAAAATACATAAATATCCCTTGAATTGTTTGAAATGTTTGATACTCTTTTGTATGATATAATGTGCATTACTGATCTTGAATAATATCAGATACATTAAAATAGCATTATATGCTAACATCTTAAAGTTGATTTAATATGTAAATAGGTATAACCGTGAAAACTGAAAAGTTTAGCATTTCATAAACTTTGCCTTCTCCAAATTGATCTTAAGACCGGAGGATTAACTGGAGAGGACTATTGCTTTGCAACCCTGTGAATTTGTAAATATATATATATTCCATGTAAAGTATATGCAAATTAATTTGGATAAAAAATTCCAGGATTTCAAATACACCTCTATCACCCTCTACAGATTCAGTAATGTATACTTAAATAATTAAAAGAAAGAGACAAAGAAACAATGAGTCAAATGTTAAATATTCTTTACATATATGTGCAAATCAAAGAGTTCTCTATTAATCTCCCCCAAATGCAAAGTTTCCCTAATTTTATTTGAGACAAATATTGCACTTTTCTACAATTTGTAACTACCGGTTCACCTATTGTACCTATTTAGATACTTTGAACGATCTAATTAATGAAATTTTGACAAATTAGAAGATGCAATCTTATCACAATGAATTTAATGTTTAGACCAATTCAAGTGAATACGTGAAAGTAACCGATACGTTAAAGAAGGAGAGAAGCAGTTAAATCTCATTAAATGTTAAGGTGAGAAGAAGGAAAGAAATACCAGAGTCTAACATAATTATAAAATAGGCCATGATAAAACTTAAAATTTAATTAGTCGTTTTTTGTTGTCTCTGAAGCCAACATAATTATCCCCCCAGAAAACATGCACTTCTATGATCTCTACATATCTCAGATTTTTAAATAAAAGAGTATCAATGTGGATTGAAAAGTGATTAAGACACAAAAAGTATGGCACAAACAACAATATAAATGAGAACAGTTTTACAACTTGCAAACATTTGAAAGAATGCTGAAGTTTGGACTAAACAAGTAAAAGTCAACAAAGAGGAAATAATTGCGAGTAAAATTGGCAAAGAGGAATAGTTATATGATCTAAAACAGATCCGGAGGAAGAAAATATGACAATATAAGGAACATACAAGTCATTGGATTGGACTATCAGTTATACTTGTGCAGCGGGGCATTCTGCTTATCTTGAAACCACTCCCTGCCCTTCCATCTTTTATTGAAGGTCCATCAACTGTCTTTATTTTGTGGCTGCAAATAAAGATTATCAGATTACAACCAAATAAATCAACACTGATAAAAGAGAACTCAACATCACATAGGCATAATTAGAAAGTAGTCAAAGTACCACTACTTTAGAATACAGGTTTAGCTCCATAAAACAACATGTAATATACATTTAAAAACAAACAAAAATGACATAAACATTTTATTGAACATCACATAGGCAGAATTATGATAAAATTCAGGTTTAGCTACATAAAACAACATTTAATATAGTCTTTCATTTCTTTCAAAAGAAATATCAATCCGTATTCTATTCTCATGTCATTTTGTACTTTCATAATTGAGAGGTTGTGTTCTCAGTTAAACAGGATTCTTGAGCATAAAATATAATGAAAATTAGAAAACAAATTCATATAGCAAACCTAGATGAATATAGAAAACATCATCAGGAATGATTTGAAGGAATCACAGCAATGTGCTCCCGATGGAGCAATGAGACGGATGAAATGGATGGAGAGATACATGCTCTCGATGACATTGTTGGTCATTGACATGTTAAAAATTAGATATCTCGCAAATTGAAAGAGGGAGCTTGAGATGGTGAGTACACATTTGAAAGGAGAAGAGTTCAAATTTGAAGAGAGAATGAAGTAGGAGGATAGCCAGGAACTTGTAAAACCTAAAAAATGATGAAGAAAGGCACGAATAGTAGATGTTGATCACATAAGTAATTCCTGAAGAATTTACCCAAATACCCCCAAAGCTTAGGCAGGAACTCACTTAGTTGAGTTAATATATGTATATATATATATATATATATATATATATATATATATATATATATTTTAAATGCACCAATTTATATGCCTGTATGTGGGCGTAAAGTTTCATTTATTGGTTTTAGTTAATTGATTCACTATCAAGTATTTATTTACTTCCTCCGTCCCCCTGTTATTGTCTCAATTCCTATTCACTTGATCAACACAAATCACTCTTAATTTCTTACTTTATGTATCAAATTTGTAACAAATTTGATTCTGGTTTTTGCGACTTTGTAAAACTTTTAATGTAGTTTCTAAATATGTATTTTTTTTCTAAAAATAATTTGAGTGCGGACATGGATTTGTTTGCTTTATCGTCGGTCAAGCATCGTAAACCGCAATGGGACAATAAGAGGGGGACAGAGGTAGTATTAGTTTTTATATAATTCACCTAAACTTCAATGTAAATACTTCACTCTCGTGCAACAGGTGGAGTAACTAGTTAAAAATAATTGATTGTAATTAAAATATTGATAAAAATATAAATGAGTAAACAGGAATTTGTTGAGCATTAGTCCATATGTTGGTACTGGCTTCATTCAAAAATTTAACACTATATTATGTGTTGTGATATTGGGTCCAGGCTCAGATATCCCCAAGCGGCCCAATTGGCACACAAGCCCAATCCCGCCTTACTCAACCATGAGCTTGACCGGGTTGCCTTGCACGGGATTTTACGGTTGAAATGATCCTGTCACTTGGCATCTTCATTGGTACCATCGACTATCTAAGGAAGAGCTCACCAAAGCAATTGCGGGGGAAAGTTAGAATTGACGGAAACACATTTAATGCACCGGATATGGAAGATTTTATGGTTGTGGACCATACACTCAAGTTTGAGCACATCACCCCTCCACCTACTACCTTGTATCACAAATATTTGTATTTATTTCATTGTAAATGGTTGACAAACCTGCTTACTTAGCAATAGACTTTTCTCTATTTTTTTGTGATCTTCGACGTAGAATAGATGGTCGGTGCTCGGACTAAGCAGGGTGTGCTGTAATCATTATAGATGCTTAAAAGAATTTGACCCACTTGGCTTCTTATCTTCTTATACTTGCTTTATATACTCATTAAATAATCCACCAAAGAATCCGACAAAAGCTCAGTGTTGGACCTTTGGATATTTAACCTCAACACTACATATTAAATTCAGGTAGATTCTATGGTACACATAAGGTATCATACCTTTGTTCACATGGACCAATAAAAATGTTGCAGTTAAATTATTTAATTCTAAATTAAGAATGATATACCTATTTGGACCAATCAAATGAATGATAGGTACGGTACCCCCATTTTTTTAAATGGGTACCGGAGTTATCACCTTAAATTTATTGTAATAAATAAGAGATCAATATTACGTTGTGGGTTCTTTTTTATTGTGTACGTGGGTTCTTTAAAATGCAAATAACACAAATACCAAAGGGTTTATTTACATGAAAAATACCAAAAAGGTAGTAACAGATTAACATTGGCTCGGAATTTGATCCAAATCCAATAAAATCGGATTCACCATGCAAATGAGTCATTTGGAACCAAAAAAATCTCCAAAAAACAAGAAGCAAAATCAAATGAATCCCAAAAGAGGAGAAAATGGATTATAGGGTGGTCTCATTCTTATCAAGATCCTCCACGCCCTCCCTTCCTCTCCCCTTATTATGGGTTCTCACTTTGAGCGTCGCGGCGGTGATCTACGTGGCGGAGGCGACGGCGCCGTTCAACCTCTCCACCATCACGTACGGCGAAGGGTTTTCCACACTTTTCAGCGAGTTCAATATCGAACGGTCCCAAGACGACAAGATCGCACGCCTCATCCTCAACCGTTTATCTGGTAATAATTAATTCGATAAAAATATTACTACATTAATTCAATGATTCCATTCCAATTTACGATGATATAATTTTAGAAAAAAATAATAAATTAAACTGTAAATTTATCATTCCAATTTTCTAAAAAAATGGGACTAAAACAATTTAAAATAAATATATATTTTTCTGCCATAATATAATAACAATATGTCAATATTGATGTCATAACTGTTGCTATTTCCAAACATATTACTAGTAGTACAGTATATGGTTACTTATATTTTGATATATAAATTACTCATATTTTGAATCTCTTTTTTACGTATAGTTAAGGGCAATTTCTAATTTTTGTTTATATTCGTATATATTGTAGGATCGGGTATAATTTCGACAGAATATTACAGTCACGGATTTTTTAGTGCTGGCATTAAATTGCCATCAGAATGCACCGCCGGGATCGTTGTTGCATTTTATGTAAGTTTAGTAACCTCTAATAATGAGCATATTTATTAACATTCATTATTTTCTATTTACAAATAAAAAATAGTATGACATATTGCCTATTGTAAAATATGAGCAATAAGGTTTTGATAATATTCCGTATGTTTTTAATCTTTACAATATACTACGTAGTTTTTGTTTATTCCTTTTTATTGCCTATTCTAAAATTTTCCTGTGCTTTTATGGCCCTTCTTTTTTTACCACAATTTATTCTAGCTATCACGCGCATGAGTAACTTTGGCTTTTTTGTTATGGAAAGACAGGAAGAGAATATGTTTAAAAAATGTGTAATTTCCTTAATCTAACACTTAATCTAAAGAATTTAAATTATGATTCCTACGTTTTTGTGTATGAATTTAATTCTTTGGCCGTTATATGAATTGGTTGAAGCATGCCGCAAGTAATATCCCTCCGTCCCATAAAATTCTTTCAAACTTTCCCTTTTGAGTCGTCCTAAAAATTTCTTCCCACTTACTATTTTTGGACAATTTGTGTGGCTCACATTCTATTAATCTACAACTATACATTTCCACTTTATTCAACTTCCTCAATATGTGTGCCAAGTCAAAGTTGGAAGTTTTTTTTGGGATGGAGGGAGTAATAAGAAAACTTCCCGATGAGTATGTAAACGTGTTTTGAAATTTCAAAGTACCTACTAATATTGTTATGTTTTTCTTCACAAAATAAGAATAATATGTCGGTATATCTTGCCATCTTGTAGTTAATTATTACTGTCAAATGATTGCAGCATTAGGCATTAAAAATGACAGTAATTACTCCTATTTTGAAATTTGAAAATTTGTTTACTTCTATTTAGGGCAATGCCGTAATAATAATAATATACTCATTTATCTTCTTCTTAATTAATTACAACTATTTCAATGGGCACTGGGCAATATACAAACTTAATTACATGTTTTTTGGAAGAGTATTTGCGGCCTAGCTATTTAAGAATGAGTGTTTATGTAAACAAAAACAATAAAAAACTACTACTACGTATTTTAAACCTCAAATTACAAGTTTTTTTTTTGTCGAAAATTTACAAAATCCGTTGGTATTGGGGTATGTTTCCTTGTAGCGGTTAAACAATTTAGTAAAGTATATATGTTATATCAATCTTAACATGCTTTTATTTCTGTATTTAATTGGTGCATAGTAATATATACGAAGTATATAAGCATCATATAGAAAAGGAATCTAGATGTAATCTGCTAGCTCTATTAAGTTTTAAGGTACACGATATACTAATTACTATCAAATAGGGCTAGCTGTAGATGATGAGATGAGACGTTATTTTTTAAAAGAATATAACTTGTCTTACTCCAAAATGCTCTATTTTACATAAATTTCTTGGTCCGTAAAGGTGGAATCTCCCACCAAGAGCCCCCACCCCGACCCGATAGGATGATGGGGAGTTTAATCACGCTGACTCAGTCAGCAAAGCGGCGGCAGGCCTTATACGCGTGCGCACCAGAGGTCCAACCTTATTTCAGGTTCTGTAACCTCCACACGGCCGTTGCGTATTTCGAACTTTGATCACTTGGTTCAATTTTCCCACCACTCGACCAACTGAGCTACCGTACGGGTAATTGTACATAAATTTCAACCTTTATTAGAGGCGCTTTTTCATTAGAGAAGCGTCCCTAATTCTACCTTGTGGCACGGTCATTAGAGGCGCGTATGAGCGCCACACGTACGCGGCTGTTTTTAAGCGTCTCTGATAGCCGTGTTTGCTCTAGCTAGTTGATCTTTGGTATTCTTTTGAGTTTTTTCTATACAAAAGTAAACCTTGAAACTTAATAAGCCATGGATCGGATAAACCTAGCTCTCAGTTTCAATGATAATCGTAAATATAATGTTCCATATTCGGGTTACTTAGATGCCGGAAGGGTACTAAAATAGTTTGGTCTTTTTATTGTTCAGGCAAGAAGAGTAAGCAAACTAAGGTCATGCTTCATTCCAATGCTAAAAATAATACTGAGCTTGCAGAAAGTAGTAATAAAATTTCATTTATTTAATTTCCAAAGAAAGTAAAGAGAAAATATGTTCTTAATTTTGGTTTTGACATTGTAGAATGTGTATTACATATGTAGACATCAAATGTGGACACGTTTGAGAAGAATCATGATGAGTTAGACATTGAATTTTTGGGGAATATAAGAGGGAAACCGTGGAGGTTTCAAACTAATATGTATGGCAATGGCAGTGTGTCGCGAGGCAGGGAAGAGAGGTATCGCCTCTGGTTCGATCCAACCAAGGACGTCCATCATTACACTATTCTTTGGACTCCCATCAATATCATGTAAGGTTTTACCGTATACGGAGTATTAGACAACATTGTTTATCTATTATGAAGCTTATCGGCCAGTTTTTTTATCCAACACGTATATTTTTATTTCGTACGCTGAGTTGTGTAATATGAAATTCACTTTAGTTATTTTAGAATGACAAGTCACTTTAAATGACGAGTCACCGTTAATTAGTCACTAAATCTCTCAATTTTTGGAGAATTTTAAAATAAGTCATATTTTTGTCTTTTGTTTTTAAATTAGTAATATTTGTGAAAAAAAGGCCTTCTTAGTACTCCATATACTTTAGTTAACTTAATTATTATATGGAGTATTAGTTATGGGTGAATTTTAGTACTACGTATACTTTTTTGGTAGATTCTATGGTACCCATAATGTATCATATCTTTGTCCACCTAGACCAATGAGAATGTAGCTGTTGAATTATTTAAATCTAAATTTAAAATGATAAAGTGATGTGGTCCAATCAAATTAATGATATGTACGGTACCCCATTTTTTTTAAAGTGACGTGGTCCAAACAATTTGAGTACTGATTTCTGAATTGTGTTTGCTTTGGACTTGCTGCAGTTTCTACGTGGACGAGATCCCAATTAGGGAAGTAAGGCGTCACACCACAATGGGCGGCGACTACCCATCAAAACCCATGTCTTTATACGTGACCATATGGGACGCCTCCACATGGGCCACCAACGGCGGCCGGAACAAGGTGGACTACAAATACGAGCCCTTTGTGGCGGAGTTCCGTGACCTCGTTCTTGATGGTTGCGTCGTCGATCCCATAGAGCAAATCCCGTCGACCAACTGCACTCTCCGCCACGCCGCCCTCATGGCGCAGCCCTTCGCCACCCTCACCGCCCACCAGCACCACTCCATGAAATGGTTTCGGGAAAAGTACATGTACTACTCCTATTGCTACGACGTCGTTAGGTACGCCGTGCCTCCGCCGGAGTGCGTCATCGTGCAGTCCGAGAGGGACTTGTTTAAGTCTAGCGGTAGGCTGAGAGAGAAGATGAAGTTCCACGGTAGCCACCGGAAGGCCGCTCACCGGAGCCCGAGGCGACGGGGTCGAGTTCCCGGAAGTGGCCAGCAGCTGGTAACGGAGATGTAGCTTTACCATATAGACAAATTTCTCATATAGATATTGTATACTTCTCATATAGATATTGTATACCATTTAGAGATTTTTCTCATGTAGTATATAGATATATATTCTTGCCGTTTCAAATTGAGTTCCAAAATTGATTTTTTGAATCAAAAATTCACTTTATTCACTTAATTAGAATATCAATTTTAATTAAATTTTAATTTGGATTTTACAATTAATTACTAAAATTGAACTAATTTTCAATAGAGGGAATTTAATTTTATCACGGAGTGTTGACTCATAAAAAATGTGGTCTTAGCAAAATAATTTGAGAGGGATATATATATATATATATATATACACACACACACATATATATATATATATATATATATATATTACTCTAACCTCTACACATTCATGACATTGAAACATTTTACATTATCAAGAAACTCAAAAATAAATTCACATTGTATCTCATGCTATCGTATGTAGTATATACTAGCGAATCTCGAAATATAAATATAGTTAATATGATAGTACGTCATTAGTTTAAAATGAGAAATAAGTCAAACAATCACATTTTTTGAATTAAAAGTGCAAGTATTCAAAGTTTTTTGGATAATAAAGAGAGAAAAAATACTTAACACTATGCATAGTATTTGTATTAATTACATTGAATATATTCCAATTTTGTTTCTACGAGTATCACACTAATTTCACAATTGATCCACGTCTTTGACTACTTTTGGTATATGACTGTTGTAATTTCGCCAATATATGATCCGGTGGTTAAAATCATCAGAAAAGGACCATAAGTGATCGTTGTCAAGTACCAAAAGTGGATAAAGTGAAAAACATAAACTAAATGTGAAATTGACAAAAACTCATGGGACCAAAAGTGGAATTAATTCAATCAAAATGCAGAAATTTCGTTTTCCATCATATCCAACTTGAGTATTGGAGAACAAACTTGCTTACCTAGATTTATCATTACTACAATAAAATGCTATCTATAATGAAACTCTCGAAATCAATCCTAGAACTTCTCCTTATGAACCAAGCATCACACTAATAGCACACATAATATGTATGCATGGGGCATGCATACGTGAGATGCGGCCAGGTGGGTTCTCACGTATGCATGCCCCATGCATACATATTATGTGTGCTATTACACACAATAAATACTTATCAGAACAAATCCTTTTTTCAATAATGCTGGTGAAACTGCCTGCTGGAAGAAAGATCGTGAAGGGCAACACACAATTTTATGGCACGTGGAAATGACGAACGATTTGGTGTTACAGATAACTTTCGCATACAAGAGAAAGCCTGAAGCGCCTCAATTGAATCTCCGTCCCTAGATAGCTCGGCAATGACAGAGTTCCAGGAGAAGACATTGCTCTTATCTACGTATTTGTTGAAAAATGTAGCAACATTTGAAGCAGCCGTGAAATGATAATTAAGGCGCCCAAACGACCACACAGATGTCGGCTTGGTCATCTTCATAATGCCAAACTTCTTTTAGAGATATTATTCTTTCTTTTCGGTCTCCTATCTTAAGAGAAAAACATTGGACCAGCGCCTGCGCCGGCGGTCGGCAATAGGATAGTAGTGGGCTGTGTTGGGATTGGAAAATTCTTTTATTCAATATCAATAACAGAATTACATTAGGAGGAACAAACTCTCACACTCAACTATTACAAAAAACCAATCCTCACCAATACACTTCTACACTAAGTGTATTTCACTCTTCACACACTTTTCTCACTTTCTAAACTGATACTATGAACAACAATGGAGCACTCTATTTATAGGGTTGGTTTGGAGACATGAGGAAGTTGCATCCAAGCTTCCTAGTTATCTCCATATCTTCTCCCACACCTATTTTTTGGAGAGCTCTTTCCAAGAAGGTGCCTCCATGTTAAGGTGTCTCTTGGCAACTTCCAAGAAAGAAGGTGGAAGATACCTACAAATCTCCCCCTCCACCTTTTTCTTTATTTCTCTCGTTCCTACGGTGCTCGCTGGCTCCCCCTCGCTGGCAACAAGTATCCATTCGGATGTGGAGTATTTTCTTTGTGGAACTATGCCTCGCATAAAACGTCAAACATGAATACCTTCATATTCGTCTTCAGATGAAGGCTCCCCCTGCTGAGGAATATCATCACCGTGAGTATCATCATCACCTGCTGAACCATCACTCTCGTGTTCAGTAGAATCATGCATCTCCTCGTCGCTGAGAGGAATGTTTGATGATACAGGCACTTCGTCTTCTGGAGTATGTTGTTGGCGGATTATTGGAGCACACCCATGAAACTCGTTTTCATGAAATACAACATCTCTGCTTCGAATAACTTTCTTCACTTCGGGATCCCACAACCGGTATCTGAATTCTTCATCTCCATAGCCGATGAAGATACATGGGTTTGACTTGAGATCAAGCTTCTGTCTCAACTCCTTGGACACATGTGCAAATGCCTTGCACCCGAACACTTTCAAGTGAGAGTAAGAAACATCTCTTCCTGACCATTTCTTCTCTGGCACTTCAAAGTTTAAAGGAACAGAAAGTGACCTGTTTATAAGATAACAAGCTATCAGCACAGCTTCACCCCAAAATGGCTTAGGTAGCTTAGCCAGACTCAACATGCAACGAACTTTCTCCATAATGGTCCGATTCATTCTTTCGGCTACACCATTGTGTTGCGGAGTTCGTGGTACCGTCTTCTCATGTCTGATTCCATATGCGGCACAATATGCTGAGAATTCTCGGGAAGTGTACTCTCCTCCATTGTCTGAACGCAGACACTTCAGCTTCTTCCCTGTTTCTCTTTCTACCATGGCATGAAATGATTTGAATCGATCAAACACTTGATCCTTACGATTTAAACAACAGGCCCATACCTTTCGTGATGCATCATCAATGAATGTCACGAAGTATCTGCTTCCTCCAAGTGACTCCTCTTCAATGGGTCCACATACATCAGAGTGGACAAGACTGAGTAACTCTGTATGGTTCTTCTTGGTAGAACTGAAGGAAACCTTGTGTTGTTTCCCAAATAGACAGTGCTCGCATGAATCTAGGGCAACACCTTTGCCCATGGAAATGACTTCCTTCTTTGCAAGAGTTGTCAATCCCTTCACGCTCAAGTGACCTAACCTCCGGTGCCACAATTTTGGTGATATCTCTTCTTCAACAGCATTGAGACTCGGATGACACAACTTTGCATGAGTTTTATAAAGAGTGCCACAAATATGGCCTCTTGCAACAACCAAGGAACCTTTATATAGCTTCCACGTACCTTCTTTGAATCGGTTAAGATATCCTTGTTGATCCAGAGCTGTACCGGAGATAAGATTCAATCTAAGATCCGGAACGTGTCGAACATCTTTCAACACAAGTGCGCATCCGACATTGGTTATTATGTGCACATCACCAATGCCAACAATCTTCGAGAAACTGGTGTTTCCCATCTTCACAGCTCCAAAGTCTCCGGACTTATAAGTTGTGAATAAGTTCTGGTGTGGAGTGGCGTGAAATGATGCGGCTGTATCAATCACCCACTCAACATCATGAGTGCCTACGTGTAAACATTCTTGTTCACCATGTGTAACAAGACACACGTCTGATGACAAACTAACCATGGTCTCACCATCTTCTTGGCTAGTATTTTGACTCGTCTGTGGCTTCTCTCGTAGAAACTTTCTACAATCTCTTTTCCTATGTCCATAATTACTACAGTAATTGCAATATCCTTCGAACCAAGTATTGTTTTCAAAGGACATACCTCTCTCTTGTGATCTTCCGCGAACTTGAGAATTTCCTCTACTTTGACCTTGACCTCTACCTCGACCTCGACTTATTCCTCCATTTCTACCTCCCCCTCGTCTGTTAGTTTGTAACACCGACCCCGAGCATATTTACTTTTAGTAAAGTATGTAATAAACCTTGAGAGATGATTTATGAATTTGCGTAATTGTAAATTTTTATTATTTCTTTTACGTGAATAGTAAATTGCATGTGGGGCCCACAGCGGGAACGGGGACCGCCCGGTAATTCCCGAACCACATATTATATTCATCTTGGTCTAGATAATATATATGGTGGCGGATATTTTATTTGGGCCATAAGTAAGGCATGGAGTTGACCGGTTGGTCAAACGGGGCCCAATTACCGGTATTGGTGATTTAGCGGATAACAGCCCGAAATGAGTTTCGGAGACTCCTAAATTAATGTTGGGGAATGTACAGCTATTCCAAAGGCTCATAATTATTAGGAACGCGTGATATATTTTATTTGGCCCGATAAAATAAAATATGATTAAAACGGACCGAGAAATACAACTTTCGGGGCCGATTGTACACACCGGGACATAATGGGATGACCTCCCACATAAGTGGGGGCCACCCCACGTTTTAGGGGTGCTGATTGATCAAATAATAAGGGAAACCTCAGGGAGACAAACTCACCCTCACCCATTAATTACCTTTGGACTCTTCATGAGAGTGATTGGGTTGAGAGTAAAGAATACTCCCCCACCCCTACTCTAATCATACGGATAACTCACACAAGAGAGGGAGAGGGAGGAGACTTGAGAAAATCTCAGAGTATTCCTGAGCTTGAAGGACCTAAGGAAGAAGGAAATCCAAAAGGAAAAGGCTTGAGTTGAGGTAAGAGCTCAACTAGTATTTTCTTTAACTAGTTTTTGTGTATGATTTTTAAGGAATCATATGGTGGATTAAATCATGAGTTCTACACATTTAAAAGTGTAGAATATTGATATAAAGTGGTGGTAATTAACCTAGGAGGGTTGGCCAATCGATAGGAGTCGAAACCGCCGGAAACCGCCACTTCAAAGGAGCTAGTCGCAGTTGCAGACCACGAAAGCCGCCCGGCTTTCGTGAAAGCCGCCCGGCTTTTGCCCAGCAGACCAGTTTTACACCTCCAATCGGCCTAGAACGGGGATTGATCGAGGGGCGTAGCAAAGGCAACTATTTCAGCACTTCATAAGGTGAGGATGGCTGACTATATTGCTTATAATTAGTGAGTTAATTTCATAAGAATGCCTAAAGTAATTAGATGGGATTTTCATGGACTATTAAAGATTAATAATGTCTAAATGAAAATAATATGTATATGGGTAAGTGAA